ACCTCTCAATATCATGTCACATGAACTTTGAACACCCCGATGATCAATTAAACTGTAGACAACTTGGTTTTGTGGTTAGGTTAGGTTGTGTTCAATGTGATTAGATTGGATTAGAATAGGTTAGCTTAGGATTAGGTTAAGTTTGGAGTGTTTAATAATCAGGAAGAATAGCCAATCAGATTGTTAATTATAAAATAAAACGTCACTTTATTATTAATATATTTTAATTGAGCGTTTAAAGGAAGTATTCCTCTCACTCACTATCGTTCCTTACAAGATGAAATGAACATGACATAATCCCTGTACAATATAGACACTCATTTGACCCATTTTTTTATTACTTAATTCTCAATTGACTTTTTTTATTACACTTTCAATTGATTTATACTTTTTCTTCTATTGAACACTTAATTTTCTTTGGTTTTTCTTTTATTAAACTCTTAATTGACTCTTTTATTTAACTCTCAATTGATTCTTTTGTTTAACTCTCAATTAACTCTTTTTAAACTCTCAATTGACTCTTTTGTAACTCAATTAACTCTATTATTTAACTCTCAATTGACTCTAAACCTTATTGTCTTATATAAGCTCATGTAAACACTCTTGACACACACACTTAGGCATTTACTGTAAGGCGTCTCGGATGCACAAAAGCCGTTTAACAGATCTGTGCACGGACCACCGAGAAAGAAAAGCTATCACCTCGGTCGGGCCCAAATAGCTCACAGCCAATCAGCGAGTTTCTCACATCCAAATAGGACCATGGCCGCTTATGGAGAATATTTTGATTAATATTGAAGAACTGGGGACAACTAAGACGATAAAAAATTGTGATGTAATATTAAAATTTATTCTATACTGCATAGGATCGAGCCGAGTTGGAACCAGTTTTGGCTACGTCCATTTTTAAGTGGCCGCCGTCCGGTTTCATTGGCCGTTGGTGACCAGTGGAAAAAATAACAAGAACGGACCTGAATTCCATAGTACCGTACTTCGTTTATAAATACGAGAATACGTTGGCCGAGAGATGTGGTCTTTGGAGAATGCGGCACAATGCTCCTACCCTAGAGTCCGGACCACCCACCTCTTTTGTGCTGTTCTTATTCATTATTGACCGATTGACTTTGGTTTTCCGAAGACCGGCTAATTCAGTGCATCTTAAAACGCCTTGCGATAAACGCCTTAACTATTGCATTTCGGAGACAAATTATACACAGCCTATTAATATCTCCACGACATCATTACCGTACACTTGCGTTTAATTAATAACACAAATAAATATAATTATCTCTGGGTAATTATATGGGTAATCTCCCTAAGTAATGTATCCAACGGGGAAATCATTGTACTGTAAAACGCCTTTGAGTTTGTGGGGTTTTTTTTTTTTTGAAGTTCTAAAAATAAGGAAAAAAAAACCCAACTCAATGATGATGATGATATGAGTAAATGTTTGTCCACAGCGCCAATATAAACACTATGGTGTCCACAGCGCCAATATAAACACTATATTGTCCACAGTGCCAATATAAACACTATATTGTCCACAATGCCAATATAAACACTATGGTGTCCACAGCGCCAATATAAACACTATGGTGTCCACAGCGCCAATATAAACACTATATTGTCCACAGTGCCAATATAAACACTATATTGTCCACAATGCCAATATAAACACTATGGTGTCCACAGCGCCAATATAAACACTATGGTGTCCACAGCGCCAATATAAACACTATATTGTCCACAGTGCCACAACAAATGGGCTAATGTACAATAGGATTAATTCTAGTATGACTCACACCCAGTGTTTCGGTAGGTGTGTGTGTGTGTGCGTGTGTGTGTGTGTGTGTGTGTTTAGGTAACGTGTGCACACTATTTGGTACATGTTTATACTATATATTTTGGGTTATGGAAAGGGGGGGGGGTTTTAACCCTAATCTAATCTAACCTGACCTGAAGTTAATCTGAACCTAACCTAACCAAACCTTAACCTAAACTAACTTGCTTGATTGTGTTAAAGGGACCCAAAGCAACCACCAAAGTACGTTAACTTAAATCCCCCCCAAAAAATACTATCATACATTTAATTCATACATTCTGCCGTAGTCATACATTCATACATTCTGCGGAACAAGAAATACACACACACACACACACACACACACACACACACACACACACACACACACCATATTGCTTCAAAAGTATATCTATAATGTTACAATATAGTCAACCTATTTTAGTAAGTTATTGTGTTTCTTTACTATAGTCTAACCCCTATTTAACGGCGTGTATAAAGAGAGAAGTCCATTATATCAAGGGTCCGTTAGATGTGAAACCTCTATATAATGAACTATATAGAGATGAAAGTCCATTATATCAAGGGTCCGTTAGATGTTAAACCTCTATATAATGAACTATATAGAGATGAAAGTCCATTATATCAAGGGTCCGTTAGATGTTAAACCTCTATATAATGAACTATATAGAGATGTCAGTCCATTATATCAAGGGTCTGCTGGATAGATGTTTCAATTGTTTAACTAGATGATAGCATTGGGGTCAAGACACATAGTTACTGATAGACAAAGCTTTGACGGGAGTTTAATACGTCATCTAAACATTATCGGTGTGTTTGTCGTGCATTATGTAACCATTTAACATCACCCGTGTTAAGACTCCAGTTTACTGAATGTGTTAACTCAAATCATTTTAACTGTTATATCACGCTACCAGCATTAACGGCAGCTGAGAATAACGGCAACCACCAATTTACACATAAACTCTTGTAAATCAAATGTAAACGAGTCCTTTGTAAATTGGGGAGGGGGGGCTTGTCCGTAAAATGAGAGGTGTCGGCTCTTAAACGCGACATATCGACGGGCTCATATCAATAGACAACATAAATGGCTGGTAAGGTACGCTCAAGTCGATTTCCGATACGCAGTTGATTATGACAATATCCTCATACTTCTCACTCCAGGTTGGGTTAGGTTAGGTGATCTAAGCTTGTCTTGAGACTAAATATAGCAATCTGTAATTATTGGTTATAAACACATGTACATACAGACAGACACACACACAGACAGACACACACACACACACACACACACACACACACAGACACACACACACACAACCAGAGTTTCACTGGATAAAAAAACTGAACTCAAATACCCTTATAGCATAATCAGACAGACAGACAGACAGACAACATGCTCCACCCACCAGGAACAAATGTACGGCACAATAAGAACACAAACATCACAAACGTCAACCATAACAAATGTCAATATAACATTACCTTCAGAATTCCTTTATAAACTTTGCAATGGAGTCAATAAATTTCAAGAGCATCAACAGCCACAACACATTGATATTATAACCCTCGGGGAATCTGTATTTCATTACCCGATCAGTCATCTTTTAAGAACATAGTAATGCATTATAAAATCAGACCTTCGATTCAATTAACGCACGAACTCAGATTATAAAAACACCTGTAGGGGTTAAGCAGATAGAGGGCCTTATGAAAATAGTGTCTCGGTGAAATGGCCTTGTCTGATGGGAGTTTGAGGAACGGCGAGATGTTTATTTAGTGGACGATACGGTGAGGAAACTCCATTATATCGAGGGTCCGTTAGATGTGAAACCTCCATTTAACGACCTATATATAGATGAAACTCCATTATATCGAGGGTCAGCTAGATGTGAAACCTCCATTTAACGAACTATATATAGAGATGAAAGTCCATTATATCGAGGGTCCGTTAGATGTGAAACCTCCATTTAACGACCTATATATAGATGAAACTCCATTATATCGAGGGTCAGCTAGATGTGAAACCTCCATTTAACGAACTATATATAGAGATGAAAGTCCATTATATCGAGGTTCCGTTAGTTGTTAAACCCCCAACTAATGGCATACAAGGAGATAGAGACGTCCGTTATATGGGGGTTTCACGACATATAAAAAATCCCATCTCTAAGCTGACACCAGAGACATAAAACAAAATCACAATAAATGCAACGATTAGTAAATAAAAAACCTAATTAACATAAACACGGCTGTACAAATTTTCCGACCTTAATAGATACACAGGCTTAATTACCCGGTGACGAGACCTATTGATAAAACTCGTAAATGCAATTGTTACGTTACCTGGACAATCTCTCTTGTGTTTACTGTTCGACCTAATGAGGTTAAATAAGGTTAGAGTAGGTTAGGTTAATGTTAGGTTAGGTTAGGGTAAGGTATAGATCTGAATGCACTAAAGACCCGACTCAAAGCTTGAAATAAATAATTAAAAAAACGGAATTAAATCACAAAAAAATGGCACTAAGATTCCTCAATGATTTGTAGTACTCCAGTAAGCCACGCTAAGCCAATCATGCCCAGGCTTCCCGATGGTCCACTGGCTTTGATTAGTGCATGTGTGTTTGCTTGATATCTGGATTCACGGAAGGATATTTTCCAGAGATGAAATGACTTGGTTTTACATGGTGAAGTTACCTACACTGTCTAGGTATATTGTTTGTACAGTACAAGTCCAAAAATCCGGACTGTTTGGGGATTGGGTCGGTCAGGATTTTCGGATTTTCCGGATTCTCAGGCAGTACTTTTGAAATTCAAATTTAAGGAAGAATAAAGAAGAGATGAACAGGTACATTATGATAGTTTATTCATTCGCAAATATAGCATGCTTCATTTATCAAAACGAGCAGTTTTAATGAAAAAGCTGTGAATTCTAGAATTTTTTTCTTTGCCTTTTATATATCATAAATTGTAGACTTTCCAATGTCGTATGTTTCCATTAGAACAGTATTGCTCACACCACGTTCTAGTTTCTTAATTATTTCAAGTTTGTCACTCAATTTCAATGTGTTCTTCTTTCTCTTCACACAACGAAGTTTATCTACTTTAGGAGCCATTATTATGGGCTTGTACAGTACTCTGTAAATGGAAAGAGTAGGACTCAAAATATTGTTATATTACAATGGTATTCTATTCATCCTGTGCTTGATATAATGCATTCACGGAAATGTAATATTTTTGCTGAACGTACGTATTACAGTGGAAAGTGGGATAAAATCGTGATGAAAACAATGACTTTCGCTTTCTTTCGTTCAAAAGATGTTACCGTAATCGCTTTTCGAATGGTTTTCAGTTCAAAAACTGTTGTATTACAATAATATTCTATCCTAATTGACTTGAATAAATACTACGATACCATATTTCTGAATATTTTCATTAAAATCCATCAAAATCATTTTCCTTGTCATCGTCTGCAGCACCAAACAGCTTCTCCCAGTCCTCTCCTTGAACAGGGCTAGAGGGTACGTGTTTTTCGAATCGTTTTCAGTTAAAAAATTATTACATCACACGTATATTTTACCTAAACTGCGCCTGAATGAATATATTCTCGGAAATAAATAGTAGTTTTGCTGAAACGTGACGTATTTCAATGTAAAATAGGATAAAATACATGTCGAAAACAAAAGACTTTACCTATGCTTCCGATGTTCTTGAGATGTTACTCGTTTTTTTAATAGTTTTCGGTTAAAATTCTGTTATATTACAATGATATTCTATTCATACTGTGCTTGATATAATACATTCACGGAAATGTAATATTTTTCCTGAAATTACATACGTATTACAGTGGAAAGTGGGATAAAATCGTGACGAAAACAATGACTTTCGCTTTCTTTCGTTCAAAAGATGTTACCGTAATCGCTTTTCGAATGGTTTAGTTTAAAAACTGTTGTATTTCAATAATATTCCCTCCTAATTGACTTGAATAAATACTTGAATGGAAATATACAATATTTTTGTTGAAACTACCCGCGTTTCAGTGTAAAGTGTCGTAATAATAAATGGTAAACAATTTGCCTTCAGCACTTGTGTTTCATGCACGGCTAGCCTCAGTTTATAGGACGTAGAGCGTTTTTACTGAAGGTTTTGTTGTTCCATTACCCTCAAAAACGTGGGTCGAACTATAAACGAGGAATATCATAAATTAACGATTTCTTGGTCAAAAAATCAGGGTCGACTGATAACGAGGGGGGGTTATAGACGAGTATATACGGTATGTTGTCACAGTTTGATTGCCCATTTTAAAGTGGCGACCACGTGGTCGCTTGTTGTCGCTGTGCAGCTGTGGCGCTCACGCATGCGCACATGCACACAAATGCCCGCTAAAAAAAAAAAATAGTTTTTGAAAAGTCCGGATTCTCGGGTGGTCCGGATTTCTGCCATACGGATTTTTGGACTTTTACTGTATACCTGTACTGTTTAGGTATATTGTTTGCATGCCTGTACTGTCTAGGTATATTGTTTGTATACCTGTACTGTCTAGGTATATTGTTTGTATACCTGTACTGTCTAGGTATATTGTTTATATCCCTAAATATTCTATATATGTGCTGAACTATATCCGACCAGTATTGTCTACATACGTGCTGAACTGTATACATGTACTGTCTATATACATGCTGGAGTGTTTATCTGCGTTATCTATATACACGACAAAATCTGAACTCGCTTGATGATTTTAATCGATAAACTCCTACTAATTTTACCAATCCCCTGAACCTACCTGAATTATCCGAGAATTTATGATATTTCTACAAGCTATGATTATTCTCACTGTGTTAAGTATCTCTCGAGCTGAAGCGAAGATGATAATGTGTTAGAAAATGGAAACAGGAGTAGTCCAGAATATGGTTTAGTGGACTGACTGTGTGAGTTAGGGGGTGGAGGGGGGTGTGATGGGTGTGGGAGGGGGAGAGGGGTGTAGTGAAGTAGAAGGGGTTGTATTGTTATTGCCACTTGGACTTGACCTTTGCGACTGGGATCTGATTGGACGTAAGCCACCAGAACCTTAGACCCGGCATAATCCCGAACGCTCCTAACGCACTTGCCAATAGCCTTCCCGTCACACACCCCCATACAAGGTAACACACTCAGCGGTATCACAATACTCTTGTTTATCCTCAAGGCACAGATACGAGAGATTACAGTGTACATTCTTTTAGGTTCGTGTGTATGTCTGTGTGTGTGACTGTGTGTGTGTGTGTCAACTGTCTGCAGTGTGGATTGATTGAGCGCAGAATACTCGTACACCGGTTCATCTCTCGGAGGCCTCGTAACGTCGGGTCAAAGTTCACGATGGTCGACTCGGCCCCTAGCAGTACCCGACGACCTGAAACGCCGAGTCAAAACCCCCGACGAGACTCAACCCGACGCCACGTTTAACCCCCCAGAGAAACTTATCTATAGAAATGAATTATACAGTTGAGTCGCTGAAGGCAGGAGCCTCTATTGATGATCCCCGCCATCTTGCACCGGAAACTAACAGTCATGGGGTAGGAGGGGTCTTCTGTGCAACTGTTAACTCTAGAATTCTACGTCGTTATCTTAACTAAACAAACTTAGGATTGAATTAGCGTAAGCCATTGGTTTGACGGGAGGATGAGGCTGGAAGAGAGAGAGAGAGAGAGAGTTAAAAATATATATCAATCTTAATCTAAAAATGTAGATCATTATCAATGTATCAAATCTTCACTATGTCATATTATCACACACAAACAGTCTTCATATATTCAAGTAATCTATTCCATAAAAACAATAATAATAATATAGGAGCTCCCCCAAACTCGCGGATTTTTGTTTTACGTTCCTCTATTATTCGTGGATTACACTCTGGATGTACCCAAGAATGTCTGCAGGTAGTTTTAAAGTTGATGGCATTTTTGCGGCAGGGACAGAGAGCCATTCGTTCTAGAGACAGAAATTTCCTTTACCTGTATTGTATATATGACACACGCACGCACGGTCTTCCTCCCTAAATACCACACAACGTAAACACCTAGAAAAGTGCAAAAGAGGGCATGCAAGATTATTCTCTCCCCTTCCTACTCCACATATCAAGAAGTGCTCAACACACTGACCCTTTCGACTCTCACTGACCATCACCACGACCTCATCTGCAAATTTGGTAAGAAGCTTCTACACCATCCTCGACACCGGCTCCTACTACCACCTGAGATCCCTAGCCCGAGAATTGCTGCTGTTCACACCACAACCCATCCAGCCCAACTGACGCTATAAGCACAGCCCAAACCATTGTAAAAATTATCAATAACTTGTAATAAATCAGTGTATTCACTCCCCAGTAAACACTACTCCTTACACTGTCACTATGTTGAAATGAACTGTAGTTTGAGCTTTTCCCCATCTAGTTATTATATATCTTATTTGTATCACTAATGTTACTTGTATATTATTTGTAATTCGAAACCCATTCCCCAAATATGTAACTGTATATTTTCAGCCTTCTGGCTGCCAAGCTCTTTCAATAAACCGTTAATTATTATTATTATTATTACACACAACACATACAAATAAACAATAATGGGAAAATATTCTCATCAATACAGTAAACTCTCAAAGATCTGGACCCGATTAATCCGGATTTTAGAAGATTTGGACAAAAACTTTGGGGGTTGTGGCCTCAGAAGCCTCCCTAAGAAGCATTCCCAGCCAGGGTGAAGGTAGTTTTAGGCTTAAAGTTCTGATCTTATAAAATGTCACACATTAAAGTTAGGAGAATATACATTTCATTGCTGGAATCCTTGCAAGACAGCGAATAATTTCAATATTAACATCATATATTTTGCACAAGAGATAAAAATTAATCACCTGTATCACATTACAGTAGTGATTTAAATGTAAGAGTGTACAGTACAGTATATGTACGTATATATATATAGTGACTTAAGGGCGATTTGGGAGTGTTTCTGACTGCGCACTTTTTGGCTCTATGTGAGGTCCCAGAGCGTAAGTTGCTAGTCTACTGTACACATTAGTTCTCAAACGTACTAAACTAAATGTCAAAATTTTATCTATTATTCAATCTATGTGACGTCTGTACTCCAAGTATTCGCCATCTTGCAAGGATTCTAGCAATGAAATCTATATTCTCGTAACTTTAGTCTGTGATATTATATAAGATCAAAACTTTAAGCCAAAAACTACCAAACCCTGGCTGGGAGGGGGGTGATATGTGTAACAATATGCCAAGGTCTAGTGCTTATTTATTTATCAGTCCTTAAGAGTGAATTTAAGTTTTTCTCTTATAAAATATCACTGAACTAACATGGGAAAATATAATTTACATTACTGGAATTTTTATAAAGATAATGATTAATTTGAATACAAAGATGCAATAGTTCGCACTAGACATGAAAATATTGAGTTTGAAATTGGAAACTGTAACCTGACCCCCAGGATAATCCGCGTACAGTTGAAACCCATAAGAAAAATACACCGTAAGTTGCGAGTCTACCGTACAGTAATACGATGCTCAAAATTATGATTTTGTCACGGGAACAAGCACATACAACTAACCCCAGTAGTCAGGATAAAACGTACTGCATTTTGGGTATTTTTATATATCACTATTTATCATCCACTGCAAGATTCAGACAATTGGTCCCTTTAGTCCAGATCTTTGAGGGTTCACTGTAATCAGAAACAAATTTATTAAAACTGTGACAGTCTGCCCTCAGGTCCGTGCTTTACTCCTTTATTAACAGAGCACGGACTTAAGGGTAAACTGTCAAATTTTTTACAAATTTGTTTCTGATTATTTGTGAGATGATTTTCCAATTATTATTCATTTATATGTGTTTTGTGTGTGTGTTTGTCTACACACATACACACACACACACACACACAGCCCGGCAGCCCCCACCCACCTAGCGCAGTCCACCACTACAACAAAATTCAGCCCATAAGAGCCTGCACCGATAGATATAAGAACAGCACCATCCCATCTATTGTTAAAATGATAAACAACTCCTGATTTATGTACTGTACAGCCCTGTAAATGTATTCAATGCATATTATATCATTATGTCTAAATCAAATGTAAGTCTGTATATTTTCAGCCACCGACTGCAACTCTATTAATAAACCGTTTATTATTATTATTATTATACACACACACCAGGTAAAAGAAATAATTGTCCTTAGACCAAACACATAAAGCGAATATAGATTTCTTTGTACACAAGTGAAATTATATAACCCCCCCCCCCTCCGGGTCCGCAAATGTTATTCGCGGCTTTGGCGATTCACGACTAGTTTCAGAACCTAACCCCCGCGAACTTGGGGAGCCCCTGTAATAAAAACAATAACAATAAAAAAATAATCCCATCCATCCATTTAATATACACCAGACCTCCCCTCCCCCCCCAGAACAAAAGACAAACATGGCGGCTAACTCACAACAGCTTCGTAGGTGGAGTATCTTGGTTCAAGGTCCTTCCCGTTCATGGTGATAAAAGCTCCTTTGTTGCCCATTGTGTCGCTGAAACATCAACAAACGTCAGTGGTTGTGTGTCTGTTGGTGCTGGATATATAGTCTTCTATCTATCCTATTTCTATACTGTATCTATTTATTTACAGTACAATTTGTTATATTTATCCATCTATCCATCTATCCAAAAGCTCAAACAACGCTCAGACCAGTAATAAACAAGGACCCTAAGCCGTACCAATAATTCGGTGCGGAGAAAACTGTGATGCACTTGCCGTCGTGTGCCACCTCATAGCCGTCGGCCTTAACCTCGTGCGAACGGATGACTAAGTCGAGGTTATTCTTCTCGAGGAATCGTTTAGTGACGTCGGGGCCGAACTGGATCCCTACGCCTCGTTTGCTCGGAGCTCGACCGCCGCCTGGCATGGGGTCGCTCCATAACAGCTCGCACATGATGCCTGCGTGATGTGGTGTTAGGTTAAGTTTGGTTAGGTTTGGTTAGGTTAGTTTTAAACATGATTTACTCTTAACACCCCCTCCTCCCCCCCCACCTCCACCCACACCCTAAGGTAACTCTTCTTGCCTGGGGGTGGGTGGAGGGGGTAACGTTACCTCACAAATTATGTCAACTCGATCGAAGAAATCAAGTCGGTATTTATTGTCGATAACATACGAATAAATAAATAAAGTTACCGTGCTCTAAGGGCCTAAAACACCAGGCTAAGATATATCGTCCAAAATCTACGAATAGGTAAACAGACCGACAAAACGTTACCTTCTTCCGGTGGCTGTCTGTTCCGTTCTGTTTTTCTTATGTCGTCTAAGGTGACGTTGTCCTCGGAGAACAGTCCCCCATGCATCACCTGCCAATGGGAAATCACTTTAGTTAGGTAAGGACAGGTTAGGAGGTAACGTCGGGTTCGATACACTTAGATTAGATCAAGAAAACAATTATATCGACAAAAAATAAAGTCGACTCACAAAAAATAAACAAAGTCGACTCTCAAAAAATAAACAATCAAGTCGACTCGCAAAAAATAAACAATCAAGTCGACTCGCAAAAAATAAACAACGACATCGACTCACCAGGACCCTAGAGTTGAGGCAGTGGCAGAGCGGCAACCAATTATAGACCTCGGTGAAGAGCTCGGCCATCTGTGAGGTGTACTTGGCCTTCACCTCCCCTTGGAACCCATACATTTGGTTCATAGTTACACTCTCGTGGTTCCCTGGGAAATATATTGTCCTGAGGTTCTGGGTTCAATAAATATAAATATACAGACCTCGAGGATTTCAGATTAGGGATTGATGTGTATGTTGTGTAGTCGGGGAACAATCGAGACCCTGTAATTGTGTGTAAATGAGGCAGAAAGTCAGATCATCAACTTGGGATTTGGTTACATATGGCAGCAGGGTCTACCATTATACAACACATTATGCTTCCAATATGTACTTCCCTGTTTGATAGCTGCCAATTATTGTTCTGTGGTTCTCGGTTCAACATGTCCTAATACATGGGAAAAATTATTACCCTGTATAATATAAACTCATTGACGTACTGGTGTCGTCAATTCGCATCAACGTCTAGTGTCGTTATTCATTAAATGACGGAAAACATTAACGGACAGGTTTTTCCACCAATAGGGAAAGAGAATGGGATCTTTACCTTCCGGTTAAGTCCCCAATGATGACTTAAATCGCAGGGGAAATAATTTACGACTCACCTCTCGACATGAAGAAGTGATCGGGGTACAAGAGCTTGAAGCCAAACAATACGAAAATACACTCGACGGAGAACGACCCTCTGTCGACGAAATCCCCGTTGAAGAGATAAGGATTGGTCGTCGAGGGAAGGCCGTTTAGGTTGAAAATATTCATGAGGTCGTAGAACTGCCCGTGGATGTCCCCGCAGACGGTGAACTTGGAGTCGTCGGGGATGGTCACGTCGACCAGCGTTGGCTGTTTCATGAGCTGATCCTTTACGTCCAACAGTATCTGAGGAGGAGCGGAGGTTTACGTCGATCGATGCGGTCTACGGTCAGATGGCACGTGAGGTTAGGTTAGGTTCAGTAAGGCAAGGTTAGATCAGGTCAAGGGCTAGAGAAGGTAAAACAAATATCCGTTAGGTAGGGCTAGACAATGTTAGGTCAGGATAGGTCAGGTCAGGTCGAACAAACAACCCTTTACCTCACCTTATACAATGATAGGTCAGGTCATGTCAGGTCAGGTCAAACAACCCTTTACCTCACCTTATAAGCATAGCGGCGGTGGAGTTTCTTCTGGCCCTTGTAGTGTTCCATTAACTCCTTCATGAACTGTCCCGTAACTCTGCCGTCCTCAAGTCGTGGCCCAACGTAGTCGTCTTCTATAGCTGTCATCATAACAGTAAACACAATGATGATCATAATAATAATAATAATACTGATAATAATAATAATAATAATAATAATAATAATAACATAATATATTCCAAGATAATATCCATCACACACACACACACACACACACACACACACACCCATAGATTCCAGGTCTATAGATTGCGCCACAGATTTGTTGTCATCGTCGACGGCGATCGCCTTCTGGAACATCAACATCTTGACGACTTTCTGACACTCGTTGTACTTCACTTTGGCATCCCGATCGTTAGGGCGCGTTTTAGTCACCTGAAATAGTAGAAGATGTGGTTAAGAGTCGTTCAGTCATGCTGTTGTTAATATATGGTCGTTCGCTCTAGTAATATTATTCAAATTATGTACAGTATGTTTATCAGTTATGTAGTTGGCACCTGAAACGAGATGATTCGTAATTTTAAAACTTAATGGGTCACCTGAACATAAGACCGCCCCCAGATAATTTCAGGGTGGTTAAAATTGGGGGGACTTTCAGGTGAGCACTTGGGGGAGCTAATCTTCAGGTGAGCACTTGGGGGAGCTAATCTACAGGTGAGCGCTTGGGGGAGCTAATTTTTACATAATCCCAAAATAAACACAGGTATAAAAATCAAAGAATTTCATTTATCGCCTCAATTACAAAACTGCAACAGATTCTACATTGAAATAATTTACGTAGCGAAAAAAAAAACATTAAAAACAATAAAAACAACAGCGACACGCGACCGTTAACAAATACTCACCGTCTCGTAATCCTTTAGAGCCAGTTTAAACTTGCCGAGGGACATGTACGCAGATGCCCTTCTGTAGTAGCCCTTGACATATGCCTTGTCGAGTTCCAAGGCCTTTGACGCATCCTGGAGGGCGTAGCCAAAGCATTCCGTCCGCAGATACGCAAAGCTCCTATTGCCGTAGTAAATGGCGATGTTGTCGTTTAGGTCTATCGCCAAACTGTACAGCTCGATGGCCTTGTCGTACTGCTGTTCTGTGTGTGGTGGGGGTCAAACGATGTCATTACCAGAAATTAAATAATGTAAATATTATCTTCAGTTTGCTTGATGATTTGATGTAACTGGTTGATTTCACCTGATGATTAAACACTCTAATAATACCAGAGGGGTTAGGTTAAGTTAACATGAGGTTAGGTTTGGTTAGTATTAGATTAACATTTGGGTGGTTAATCTTCAGGTGACATAATCTGGGTTAGTTTAGGTAAGGTTAGGGTAGTGTAAGGTTAGGGTGCTCTTATTATAGAATGGATATCAATTCACTGGAGTCGGTGCAGCGAAGAATGACAAAAATGATTCCGGGACTTAGAAACCTTCCATATCAGGATAGGTTAAAGAAACTTAACTTGCATTCCCTAGAAAGACGAAGAGTGCGGGGAGATATGATAGAAGTATTTAAGTGGGTGAAAGGAATCAATAAAGGGGATATAGATAAAGTTCTTATAATATCCGAGCAGGATAGGACTCGTAGCAACGGATTTAAGTTGGATAAGTTTAGGTTTAGGAGCGAGATAGGAAGAAACTGGTTCACAAATAGGGTGGTGGACGAGTGGAACAAGCCTAGTAAGTGCTGGAATGCTGGAAAGTTTTAAAAGGAGGCTGGATAGATTCATAGATGATGGAGAGTGGTAGTGAAGTGACCAACCACCCTACTGTAGACTCCTTATGTTCTAGATGATAGTTTAATCCCTACAAGACGATGGTAATCCCTCCTCTACTATCCTGAAATCCCACCTATATCATATAATCAATAAATAACAAATTAAACCTAAAAATAAACCTCACCTAAACCCTCGTCCTATAGGGGCTAAGGGAGATATTATTTCCCTACGTCATAAACCTAAACCTCCAGTGACCCACCCATACACCACAAGACCAGATTAATACCTCTATAAACACCACATTAAACCAAATAAACCCAAAATAGCATCAAACACCTATAAACCACTACACCATCACTCAACCCAAAGGAAGGATATTAAACCACCTCACCCCCCCATCTTATCTCCCTCATTATTCTCTCAATTTATCAGTTATCTGGATTTATTTATAGACTCTACTTACTCTTAAAGTATTCATTAGCTTCATTCTTCAGTTCCTCAGCCTTCTTGATGTTTTCTTCCGATATTTTAGACATTTTTAGGTGAAATTTTGTCTCGTGGGTCTTGAAGGTGTTCCTGGTTCTGTTTACACTCTCCTCAGGTAGATGTCTAACTTAATAAACAAATATTTACTTAAAAATACCTCTAAAAATTCCTATTATTCACTAAAAATTAATAATAAATATAAAATAGATTAATTATTCTTATAAATATGCTAAAGATTCATTAAAAATTGGAATATATTTAGTTATTTTATTCAAGCATTGATGTTTTGTCTCACTGATGCTTCACTAATATAAGGGACACGAGCCTATAATAAATTTTGTAAACAATAATTTTATTTATTATATAACTACAAACTTTATTTAATGACGAATAACTATGAATATATTATTATTCATATTTTTGAATAATTTATTTATGGATTATTTGGTTTATATGACTATAATAAAAGTATATAAAGCAATCTTGAGGTGAAATAAGCTGGGGTGTCTAAACTACAGGTGAAATAAGCTGGGGTGTCTAAACTTCAGGTGATATAAGCTGGGGTGTGTAGTCTTCAGGTGAAATAAGCTGGGGTGTCTGAAATAATTACAGGTGAAATAATAATACAATAATGTCTAATCTTCTGAAATAATAAATTTTGTAATACAATAATATTTTAATTTATTAAAATAACTAACATAATAATCTTCAGGTTAATGACAGGTGAAATAACTAGGTGTCTAATATTCAGGTGAAATAATTAATTCATATTTTTGAAATAATATTTATTTATATGACTTATTTGAGTTATAAAGCATATCTTGAGGTGAAATAAAGTGAAATATAAGCTGGGGGTGTGAAAAATTAAAGGTGAAATAAGTATGATGATTTAGCTCTTTGACACCCCAGCTTATTTCACCTTTAGTTGACACCCCAGCTTATTTCACCTTTAGTTGACACCCCAGCTTATTTCACCTTTACTTTAGACACCCCAGCTTATTTCACCTGAAGATTAGACACCCAATTACTACCTAACTCCACAGGTGTCATTATTGACCAAATGGCCACCCACTAGAAGTAGCCATGACGAGTAGGAATCCCCCCCATCGTTCATTGTTATTTTTCTAAAGGCTATTTTGAAGCCTAGTGCTGTTCTTGATTCCACAGCTTGAGCTAGTCGACTGTTCCATAGGTCTATCACCACCACAGCTTGGACTGATACTGTTCCATAGGCCTATCAGTCTGTGCAAGAAATATTTCCTTATATTCATTCAGCATAAACTTGGTCAGCTTACTTCATCATGTTGGTGGTGCTTGACTAAACAAACAAATGTCCCAGCTTAACCTATTGTGTTTTGAGTAATATCACCTTTAAATTGCATTAGGTTAGGTTAGCATTAGCGTTAGATTAGGTTTGGTATGGGTTAGGTAGGGTAGGTTAGGGTAGGGTAGGGTATGGTTAGGTTAGGTTGTGCTACAGCTCACGTAGTAAAGGATATTAAGTCAGAAATAAAATACCAATTGGAGTTTTCTCTCTTTTAATATTTTTTAATACATTTGATTTAAAGTGTCATACAATACTCTAATATAAACAGCAAACACAGGAAACTCGAAGAAGTCAATATACATAAATTCCTCTTATAAATCGAGGAAAAAAACACAATTTAACCCCACTACAGTATCCCCTATACCAAGAATCAATAAGCCGTTGGTTGTCGTGCCTCAGAGAACATCGGGTCGCCGTTTGAATCCTCGCATAAATAAACCACCTCTAGAAATACGTCACGGCCAGTTCGAAACCTCAATCAATTACACAACCTAAAAAAAAAATGGAAAACCTAATCCGATATATTTATAAACACCACAAATAATTAGTTAATAGATTATCTTTAACCAATAGGGATGATTGCTTTAACTTCACTCAATGTCCGAGTATTTAATCGTCTCGGGTTAGTTCGGTGTTACGACTAGGCTGGGTTTTGGGTATTCACGTCGTTATTAAGAACTTTTAGGTGCATCGGACCCCAGAGAATCACCCCACGTTCTATCAAAATTACTGGGCGTTGCATCGACTGACGACCCCAGACTAGACGCGCTACGAAGACACGGTCAACCAGCGGCCTCATATTAGTGGCTACACGTCAGAATTAGGTAATACGTCCAGAGAATCCACAGTGCGAATGAAACGCACCAACAACGCTACGGTAAACAAATCCTAAACGAAAAGAATAAAAAAATAATTTAGGCTCTAATTTGTCTCTTCTTGTTTATTTCCGGCTTGTTATTGACGACGGTAAAGAAATATGCTTATGATTACATCAGACTATATACAGTACACCGCAAAAGAAACGCAGAGGGGGATTTTAAACGCCCCACCCCACAAAAAAAAAAAAATTCGCCTCGAAATGAAAATTAAACTGAATCCCCGTGAAAACCAAACACAGATGAGAATAAACAAATTAAATGGATATATTTGACTCTAAATATCACAATTAGGCGGGAGAAGTACCAATACTATATATATATATATTAACAGCAAATCTTTTTTTTTTAAGCTACCGACGTACACATCTTGTGGTCAAATGATACGTTGTTGATACCGAGAAAAATTTAACAGAAGAAAGCATTTCTTTATCCTTACTAACTATACTCTCTCTCTCCCACATCCTCAAATATTTTTTTTTAATTAGTTTAAGAAAATATCAAGTAAAACAACGACAGATGATCCAATTGTCTCTAGTCCTTTGGTTCATTATACGGAGGTTAAAGCACAGACGATTCTTATTAAGGGGGTCGGTCCGAGTGCCTGTTGGCGGAGCAGTACAGTACTTGCCGGCAACACACAGTACAGTACTTACCGGCAACACACAGTACAGTACTTACCGGCAACACACAGTACAGTACATTTATCTGTAACCGTCTAGTACACAACAAAAGACTTCTTAGTTATGGTGTAAAAACCCAAGAGAGATCCAGACACTAATAAGGAACTTAATTTGATTAGGTTAGCTTGTGATTAAAATAAATATCCACAAATACCTCATCAAATGGCAACAGATGACAATGATTTATAAACTCCTAAGTAAAGAATCCAACTTGAGGTATGGCCATTATGCTGCATGCCAAGCGGACATATCCCTTCCCCCCACCAACACGCACCGACGCCCACCTTAATATAAATCGGTGCGGTAAATGCATCCTTTCACGCCACACCCGACCGTTAGGCATCCGGAACCTCAAACGTATACGGATGATAAACGTCGGATATACAAGACAATATCCGGATTACGTCGGCAATCCTCCTCCCTCCCCCTTATTCTCTCACACACACGCAGGGCTACACCAGTCGACCACCATCTCACGTCCAGAGGGGGCTAGGGAGCTTCAGCACGCCTCACCGTACACACTCTCATCGCTGTAGGCAATGTACAGGAAGAAGTCCTCCTCGTGATGTTCCTGCAATGTAAACAGAGGCGGGTTGATCGTTCACGTCTCGGAATAACAATATCACAAAAACTTTCTCTCTCGAAGCATACAAAAAATCCTTTATAAATACACCATAATCTAACTAATTACACCTAAACACCATTAACTAACAAGAGGATAATAATAATAATATCTAAAACCATATCAACCAATAAACCTCCATTGTTCACTACACACCTCACGATTAACTAGGTATGCCAAGATGTTACATAATTAATAACATGAAGATTAGACACCCCCCATTGCTACCTTGGGGGGGTTAAGATAGATCAGTAATCGGGTGCTTAATCAACGAACACGTTTCCATACCTGATACAGGGACCCCATAGTGGCAGACGTCGGTGGGATGACATTATTGACGAAGAAGAATAATGCGTCCTCGGGTCGTAGGTGGATGCGTTTCCGGATCAGGAAGTAGAACTGCCCGACGGTCAGGTCGCTAGGGACGAGGTACTAAGGGGCCTTCTCGACGATGACCTGCGGGTGATTAGTCCCAACATAAATAAGGTGATTAGTCCCAACATAAATAAGGTGATTAGTCCCAACATAAATAAGGTGATTAGTCCCAACATAAATAAGGTGATTAGTCCCAACATAAATAAACTAATTACTGGCTACAAAGTTCAATTAATTAGATTATAATTACGTTCATTGTAATATAAACTTAATGGATGATTATTTCAGACACTAATTGTCATATAGTTAGTTTAAAAAGACAATAATTAATATAACCAGAGACCTTCATTAATACACTAATTAGGTATTGGATAATTAGAGAACAGGTAGCACTAATTAACCCACAGGTAAAAGACAGGTAGCACTAATTAACCCACAGGTAAAGACTAAGTTAATTATCTCCTAAAATTACCTTAAATAATCTCTAAATGTATAATATATTTAATAATTAGTTAAATATAAGATAGAACATTAATTAAGGATTATATAGAGGTAATTAATATCCAGGTAAAGGTAACAGATGGTGATTAAATAAAGAAAAATAAAATAATATAAAGTAAATGGTGATGATGGCTGACATGGCGGACCTGAGTCATCACAAATGCGTCTTATATTTATCGTCTTTTTACCGACTTACTGGCACTCTGTCGGGGTATTTCTTTCTTATCTTTTCACCTTCCGCCCTCCTCTTCTCAAAGGGATGTTCCTCCTTGTACTGCCACTTCATTTTGAGGGAGAATTAGAGGAAATAAGTGTATGTGTCTCTGTGGGTCGGGTGATGGAAGGCGTCTGAGCTGTTCTCTAGACTTGATCCTCTCCTAGTTCGATAAACACGTTAGATAATCAACCCTCTTTGTTATAATAGAACTGGATCTTATATAGAGTAACAAAATTCTTTATAAATACATTCAGGAACTTATAACTTTAATAATTTGATGTGTTTTTGTTTCTAATCCTCCTACTTGATAAAAGATACAGTCGTCTATACTCTTGATGTTTGACAACAAATACCGAATGACACCATAATCATCCGCGAGATAAAGGAGTTCCATATTAATTCTAATTTCCTTATTATTTCCTCATTATTCCATCATAGTAATAGAAATAAAGATTAAATTAAGTAAAATTATTCTTTTAATGGCTCGTTCATCAGTTATTTACACATTACACCATCATTTGAAATATCATATGATGTGTGACGTCACAATGGCAATTTGCCAGACTAACAGCTGATACAATGTTAACAACTAACTACTGTTTCCTGACCCTTAAACCTTATATAACCTCTATCAATAAATTATAACTAACCCTAATAATTAAATCAATCCATCAAACCAACACAAATCATTACCAATAACGTATATAGTTAGTTCAGTAATGACCCAATTAACGTGAATATTATTAATGTTTTTAAATACAATTGAAAATAAATTAAAATATAAATAAATATTAATTAACTTATTATATATTGTCTACGTAGATAGATATAAGCTTTTATTTACCTTAAGCTTTGTTAATAAATATATAATACTATCACTACTACTACTACAACTACCACCACTACTACTACAACTACTACCACTACTACCACAACTACCACTACTACTACTACCACAACTACCACCACTACTACTACAACTACCACAACTACCACCACCACTACCACAACCACCACCACCACCACAACCACCACCACCACTACCACACCACCACCACCACCACAACTACCACCACCACCACTACCACAACCACAACTACCACTACAAGGACTCATTTATAAAAACAAATAACATATAATATACATATATATATATTTTACAATACTCAATACTTTACAAAATACATAAAACATTTTCATTAAAGGTATACAGTTAAGTAAGCTAGGATATGATTAAACACCTCACCTAATTCAATAATGTTAATCTAACCTAATCTAATCTACCATATATAACCTAATTTAACCCCTATGGCTACAATTGGGTAGTTCAATCATCAGGTGAGTTAAACTAGAGTATCTAATCTTTAATAAATCTATATATTAATTTAGTATCACATTATTTAAAAGTGTAATTTAAACTATAGAGAATGACTACTAAGGCAATATTTCAAAACACAAGTGACCATTGAATGAAACGGTTCGCAGCCAATCAAAATAGTGATATTTGTGGCGGCCCCTATTGGATTGATCTGTTGTTTACCAGCGTCGATGTCCACAGCTCTGAGCCCCGCGTCCTGGGTTCATTCCCCGGCCTGGGTCAGATGCGAGTAGGGTTTTCTCCAGGTATAAATGCATTTTTTACCTGTACTGAACTAAAAAATATTGAATCAAGGTCACAATAAACAAGGGGTGGGTATTTTTCAGGTGGTGCTAATACCATATCCGGGCATCAAAACGCCTTGTTATACTTCATGACGCCCGTGTGAACGACCACGGTAGGAGGGACCTCTAAGGTATGGCCTAGTTTAGTTCGGCATTCCTCCACCTGTTGTCTCAGTTCATCGGCGCTGTATCCCACGACGCTCTTCAGGTCGAGCACGAATCTGTAAACGAACCGCTTTCCGGAAACTTTGGCGATCATGTCACCGTCGTAGTAATACCTACAAGTGGAGAAATTGGTGCGTTAGTTTAGGTTACGTCAGCTTAGGTTAGGTTACGTTATGTCTAATTAGATTTGGGTAGATTACATTACATTAGGTCAACCCAGGTCAGCATTAGGTTAGGTCACTGATATGCTAGGTTAAATAGTGTTACATTAGGTCAAATCAGGTCAGCAATAGGTTAGGTTAGCACTAGGGTATTAAATAATCAGGTGAAATAAACTAAGGGTAAACAACATACACGTGATCGCAGAATACATCAATTTAGTGCGACAACAACGGTAAGTAGTGGTGTTACCTTAGGGCCCTAGACAGCTTTTCATAGTTCATGTTTGGTTTACTCTTGCGTTGACCCCACAAACTGGCGACGACTTCTGGTTGGTGGAGGCGGAACTCCCCATCGCAGCCGTACCAGGAGATTATGGGGTATAACTGTGGAGGGAAATAATTATTAAATCTTAACTTGCGATTATGAGTTACCTACATCGTTTCACATACTAACTACCACTGATGACCACCGTCTCTACAGCTAACTAACACTAATGATCACCGTCCCTACAGCTAACTACCACAAATGACCACCGTCCTTACAGCTAACTAACACTGATGATCACCGTCCCTACAGCTAACTACCACAAATGACCACCGTCCCTAGAGCTAACTTCCACTAATGATCACCGTCCTTACAGCTAACTACCACAAATGACCACCGTCCTTACAGCTAACTTCCACTATTGATCACCGTCCCTACAGCTAGCTAATAGTACAAGCGTTAAACCCACGTACATTTGGTTCAGTTAATAGCTCTAATAAGAACTGCCAAAGCTGAATCTGTTGATTACCCGGGCCACCACTTCCTGTCGCCCCCGTCGAGTTTCCGCTCACACCGCTGCTTCCTCCTCCGCTAGACACGCTTCTACTGCTGCCGTCCCCTGAGCTCTTCACCTGAGAACGAGCAAATCATCATTAATTAGCTCCTATATAAACACATCCAATATCACCATCTACATATGATTTAGTTTTTATATTAAATAACTCATATATAACCCAATACAATGCAGTATCTCCATAATATATTAATTCTCTTGAGCTAAATATCAGTTTTAATTAGCTAAAAAAATAAGTTAAGTTAGGAGAGGTTAGGTTGGTTAATCTTCGGGTGGACCCTATACCAAATTTGTAAACAAGACTCACGGTGCTAATCTGAATGGAGTGTGTCTTCGTCGTCGGTGTAGCGGTGATTATTTTTGGCGGCGCGGGTTTTGGCACGAGGGAGTTAGGATCGCACACAACAGCTGAAAGAGATGACGGGATTACTGGAACATGTGATACGATCCTTCTCTAACATGACGGGTTTTCTGTGGACATTGGGGTTGATTTTACTATGGGGTGTTGACCTATGGGACCACCCTGTACATGCGTGTGTGAGCTATAAGACACACCCTGTACACGAATCAACAAACTAATGACACGCCCTGTACTCACCGACCACATTAGTTCGCCTCAACAGCTCAAAGTGCATATAGAAAACATCCCCAGGGTCATCGGGAACTAGTTTACGGAACTCTGTTTGACTCAGCCCGAACAACTCTTGTCCCGTCAGACCCCAATTGGCATTGTTTACATCGACGTTCTGAAGGCCGAACTGATACACCGCCCAAGAGAGCCACTGTCTGATGTGGTTGCCGGTCCATTCCAGCGGATCTGAGAACGAAAACGGAAAAATAGGGGATTGACCGAAAGTTCCAATTTTGAGGTCATTTTGTCATTGTTATTTTTGGATAAATACTGTTTAGCTTAGGTTAGGTTAGGTTAGGTTAGCATTAGGTTAGACTAAGTTAGTTTACATTAGGTCTGGTTATGTTAGTATTAGGTTCAGCAAAATTAAGTGAAGTTAAATTTGGTTAAGTTAGATTGGCATTAGGTTAGACTATGTTAGGTTAGATTAAGTCAGGTTATGTTTGTACTGTATTAGGTTAGTCCAAGTTAAGTTATATTAGGTAAGGTAAGGTTAGGTTAAACTAGGTTAGGTCATGATAACCAGTGGGTCATTCAATCATCAACTCAAAATAACCCACGACGCATAATAAATAACCCGGGACGCATAATCTACACACGACTCCACACCACAACACTTACTCTGAGGAATCTTTAAAACCCTCTGGTGTTCCTTAAACGTGGGGCAGACAATCCACCTCGTCGTTTTGGGCATTTTGGTGGTACTCTTCGCTTCTGTGTTGACAATTTTGGGTGCTTGGGGTAGGGTGTCGGTTGTTTTTATTTCAGATGATTCTGCTGAGAGAAAAGAAGAAATTGTAAGCCGTTTAAACCATTAATGTAAACAGGTGTATATATAGGGTTCATTATATTGAGGGTGCGTTAGATCTAAAACCTCTATTTAACGAACTATATAGAGATGAAAGTCCATTATATCGAGGGTCCATTAGATCTAAAACCTCTATGGCTAATAAGGTGAGGGAACTTGAGTCCAATTGTACTTCACCTTCATTGGGCTTCAGGACGTCGAGGATGTCAATACAGCCGCCTGAATCATCGGTCTTTACGACAAAGTGTATCTGAACAAGACCTGTGCTCGTTCCACACTGTTCCTGTAGTGTCTCATCATCATTCAGCTGAAAGTCCGTAATCAATAATTTCATAACAGTCATTGTACTCTAGGGGTGAAAATGATTATACTCAAGGGATTTAAATCATTGTACTCAAGGGATTTAAATCATTGTACTCAAGGGATTTAAATCATTGTACTCAAGGGATTAAAATCATTGTACTCAAGGGATTTAAATCATTGTACTCAAGGGATTAAAATCATTGTACTCAAGGGGTTAATCCACCTCTCTCTCTCTCTCTGACATGACCCCATCTGACATGACCCCCATCAGACAACATCTCACACTCACCTCTCTCTCTGACAGGACCGACACACCGAAACTAAGAGGATCCAGATGTAAGGCTTCGGCCGCTCGGGATTTCAGCGTGCCCATCGTCTCGCTTATGTCCATGTCTATAGCGTAGATGTGAAGCGCGTTACTGTGGGGAGGGAGGGAGAGAGATGGTCACGATAAACCCGGCCGTAATGTGAGGCGATAATGTAGTGGTGATATCAGTACATGTTATATTTTGAATGTCTTGTGGGTTGGGTTGGGGGTTGGTTGTGGGTTGGGTTGGGGGTTGGTTGTGGTTTGGTTGTGAGTTGGTTGTGAGTTGGTTGTGGGTTGGTTGTGGTTTGGTTGTGGGTTGGTTGGGTGAAATAAGTTTGGGGTGACTAATCTTCATGAAACCGAGGGAGGGGCAAAGGTGGGGGAGGTAAAGACGGCGTGGGGAGGGGGTGAAGAGGTAGGGGAGAGGGGAGGGAGTGGGGAGGGGAGGAAGGGGCCTCTATATAGACTAACGACCAGCCTTAACAAGAGAGAAACGCTTACTTGTGTTCCTGTAGGGCTAACGAGGTAGTTTCAGGGTCGCCTTCCACCCCGCAGCTCTCCGACGCTTGGCTGTTGACCTCTCGCATGCCTTCCTCGGCAGCCTGGAGCAACATCTCTTCAAAGCTCTCCATACCATCTAACTCTGCCCCCGCCATTACCTGTCACATAGATCACATAACCTGTCACATAGATCACATAACCTGTCACATAGATCACATAACCTGTCACATACATCACATAACCTGTTACGTAGATATGTATATCACATCACCTGTTAAAATTAGTATCAGCTAAGGGGGTATAATGTCAACTATGGGGTATAGACGTCAGCTATGGGGTATAAACATCAGCTATGGGGTATAGACGTCAGCTATGGGGTATAAACGTCAGCTATGGGGTATAAACGTCAGCTATGGGGTATAAACGTCAGCTATGGGGTATAGACGTCAGCTATGGGGTATAAACGTCAGCTATTGGGTATAAACGTCAGCTATGGGGTATAAACGTCAGATAAGGGGTATAAACGTCAGCTATTGTATAAACGTCATTGGGGGTATAAACGTCAGCTATGGGTATAGACGTCGGCTATGGGTATAAACGGCCGCTATGGGGTATAACGTCAGCGGGGGTATAAATGTCAGCTATAAGTATAAACGTCAGCTATGGGGCAAACGTATGGGTACAAACGTCAGCTATGGGGTATAAACGTCAGCTATGGGGTATAAACGTCAGCTATGGGGTATAAACGTCAGCTATGGGGTATAAACGTCAGCTATGGGGTATAAACGTCAGCTATGGGGTATAAACGTCAGCTATGGGGTATAAACGTCAGCTATGGGGTATAAACGTCAGCTATGGGGTATAGACGTCAGCTATGGGGTATAAACGTCAGCTATGGGGTATAAACGTCAGCTATGGGGTATAAACGTCAGCTATGGGGTATAAACGTCAGCTATGGGGTCTGCTGAGAAAAAATACAAGAAGGAAACAATCTTTAATTATCCTATTAAACTCGCAAATATCCATTAATATAAACCTTCATATACATTAATAACTCATTTATGGACTAATTATCGCTTAATTATATAAAAAAACACCTGAAATATTAAATAAATTCAGGTACACTTACACTGAGGACGGCCAAATGTAAACACTGGTTGAGTAATGTTAAGGAATAACTACGGCCGGATTATATATTTTTATTTAATACGTTTTTAGTTAATTTAATCACAGATAGTCTTTAATGAGTAGTTTTAAATTATATACATATATATATTTTGTTTTTGTATATTAATTTAACTTTATTAACTTATGTATTAATGAGAAGAAGTTTTAAGGTATTTTATTAACATTGTAACTTGGTCGGTTACTCTACTATAACAATCAATGGCTATTAAAGGAAATAATTAAACAAATGACGTCACAGATGTTAGGCATTGTGACAGAGGCGATTTATTTAATATTTAAGGGCGATATATGATGATAATTCCAACACATCTAAACTTAATATGATAATTAAACACCAATTCATATATATTTTAGGTTCGTAGTATATATATCTTGGATTATCCTTATAAATAATTATTAAACAATAATTACAACATAATTAAATATATAAACTTAATTAATTATTATAAATGATAAATAATCAATAAATAACGTCTTTATTTTATATATATATTTTTTCACCTCACCGGAAACATAGATTATTATTATAAATTATTCTTAAAAAATAATTAAACATATATATAAATAATATAATAATTACATAGAAGAATAATTAATAAATATAAAGAATAATTAGTATATATATATTTTATTTTATTTTAGGTTCGTAGTAATTACAATGTTTTGGTTTGATGGCCAGGAGCATCATCAGGTTTTCCTCTTAATAATTTGTCTCTAAAACTATCAATATGGACTAAAGACGCCACTAACCATTACTAATTAAGGTGAGCTATTATCCCTCTGTCTAATGATGTTAATTAGTGGTTGATTGAAGGTTAATTAATGGATATATGGAGATAAATAGGAAGGGCTCAAGATGCCGTCTGTAAGTTGGATAAACCTCATAAGTTAATTTATCTCAATAAACCCGAATGGTTATGTTTTTTTTTGTGTTTTATCTGTCGAAGGATTTGCGAAGGTTGAGACATATATATTATTTTTATTGATATTTATAGTTTATATACGTAATTTATAATATATTTACCCTCATTTTAACCCATTAATACCTCTACCATTATCCATCCCTAATTATATAACCAAATCATCTCAATTCTTTCGTTTTTTTTATAGATTTTAATATTTTTTTCTCCTCAGCTTTTGTTAATTTTAGCCCCGAACTTCATCTGCTTACCTGCTGCCACAAGTTAACGGAACATTTTCGTAACGTGATTTCTCTCTAGGCGATAAGAATGACTATGTTACGCTAATACTAATAACTCATCTCCTTGCAGTGTCACGAGCGTCGCCAGTCAACTCGGAAAGATGACTCCCTCGCCAACACCGTCGCCCCTGGAAAGTGGCAGTGGATCGGGCCCAATGGACACAGTGGGATCGATGGGCGGACAGATGGGAACGATCTCCCTCGGCGTCCTCATCCAATACATCAACCAGCGGACTTATTCAGATCTACTCAACTTGGCCGAAATGTAAATAAATACCGGTTAAGACGTTGAATGTTTTGGTCTGGGGTCCATAGGTGGGTGGGAGGAGGGGGGGGGATGTTTTGGTCTGGGGTCCATAGGGCTGGGTGGGAGGAGGATGTTTGATTACAGGGTCCCATGGGGGTGAGGGGAATAGTGTACCCCAGTTTGTTGCATCTTAAGATTAGGTACATCAGTGTTCGCCTAACAACCATACCACCTAACTAACACAGTCCACCTATCTAACCAAACCTCTACACTTCCTGTCCTATCTATCCTCACCTCCACTAAATATTTTAAATGGGACTTAAATCTAACCCATATCTTGTCTGGGTGAATATAGACCCAATCAGGAACAACAGTTGTAGTTTACCTCTTCTTGGGGGGGAGGCCATCTTGACAGTGTTGACTCTTTGGAGGTTCACAGCCTTTAGTCTATCAGACACCACTGAAGTGTCTCAGTTCGAGGGAAAACCCCGTGGGGTTAGTTGTTTCGAATAGCCAGATCTGAACAATATCGACATTAATGATAAATCTTGTATTCATAAATAATAATGTAAATAATAATGACAATAATAATAATAATGTAAATAATAATGACAATAATAATAATAATGTAAATAATAATGATAATAATAAAAAATAATAATGTTATTTATTTTAATATTTTACTTATTTAAAATTTATTCATATAATTTTATAGAAAGACAGATAGATATTGTACTGTAGATATAGATAGATACTGTAGATAGATAGATAGATAGATAAAAAGATACTTATACCTGTATTAGTATCTGTCTACCCAACACCTGTGCCTATATCGTGTCGTAACCCCAAACGAACGACCCAAAAAATAATTATCGTTTCCCGTCGCGCCCACAGCTTGCCCAGGAAGAGCGACATGGAGAAAAAGATGGACATAGTTCAGTACGCCCAACGAACTCGTCAGCTCTACGTCCGCCTGTTAGCGTTGGTCAAGTGGGCTGCCAGTGCTTCCAAAGTCGACAAATGTTGTGTAGGTTTTTTTTATTTATTTTGTTTTTTTATTACAGAGAAAGACAGATTTAGATCTAGTTTATTTTACCTGATGATTAGACACCCTAGTTTATTTTACCTGATGATTAGACACTACTGCTTTTTCTATAGGGTTAGGTTAGTGTTTGGTTATGCCATGTTTGGTTAGGTTAGGTTTACATTTGAGTGCAATCATCAGGTAAAGTAAACTAGGATGTCTAATCATCAGGTAAAGTAAACTAGGGTGTCTAATCACCAGGTAATCTGTTAGTCCTCTCCATATAAACTGTTCTTTAGTAGATACAATGTTATATATATTAAACCTATCCTATTTAGATAGAAGCATATATATATATATATATATACATTACTTATAGCTATCCAATCAAACACTATCTTACATTGGGGTACAGGCTATCCAATCAAACACTATCCTACATTGGGTGTACAGGATCGTTAACTACCACCACTCTATCGTTACAGCACATAATGGCCTTGTTAGAGAAGCAAAACAGCCTCTTCACCGACAGTGCTGATAAACTTTACCACATGACGAAAGAGAATTTGGTTCGTGCCCGACTTCCGCATTTTCATATTCCTGCTGCCGTTGAGACCCTGACTACAGGTAAGGGTGTGCGTGTGTGTGTGTGTGTGTGTGTGTGTGTGTGTGTGTGAATATTCTCAATATATATTTGTCTTAGTGTTAAATAAGTTATTCGATACCTAACAAAAACACACACCTAACACCCCCCCCCCCCCACAGGGTCGTACGATAGGTTGCCGATGACCATAAGACAACGCATCCTCCCTCCCGAGCCAATCACGGCCCTGGAACGTAAGCAGACGCTGACTCGCCTGGAACAGATCGTCCAGCATCGTTTGGTGACGTCTGAACTACCCCCACAAATGAGGACGAGCCGTGTAAGTGGGCTAATTGCCTCGTACGGTCGTTTAGTTTGTGTTTATAGATAGATTGATGGATAGATGATAGATAGACAGATATGTAGATAGAAAAATTAAATAAGCTTTGAGTAAATCTTGCTATTTCCCCAGTTGAAGTGAGTCAGCTTGATTTATTAAGCTCGAGTAATCTTATTTCCCCAGTTGAAGTGAGTCAGCTTGATTTATTAAGCTTGAGTAATTCGTATCTCTCCCCAGATCGAAAACGGCCGAGTGAGATTCACGGTAGAACACGAATTCGAGGTGAGTCTGACCCTAATGGGAGATAATCTGACCGAGCCTTGGAGACTACTGGAGATCGAGATACTGGTGGAGGACAAGGAGACGGGGGACGGTAAAACTCTCGTTCACCCGATGCAGGTACGTACGATGTTAGTCTCTTGTTTACATTGTCGTTGCGTCGTTTTTCCGGGGTTTCGAGTCGTTGACGGTGGTGGTTAGTACAGGTGGTGGTGTTAAATTGTCATGTGGGGTTCATGTTGAGGGTTAGGTTAGGTTATGTTGGATTAGGTTAGTATTCAAGTGTCTAATTATCAGGTAAAATAAACTAGGGTGTCTAATCTTCAGGTAACCTTTCGTTCCAGATTGCGTTCATCCATCAACTGATTCAATCGAGGCTTCAAGACAACCCAAATCCACTACATGAAACCTATATGGTACTTCACGCCTTCTGTCAGGCTCTCCAGCTTGAAGTTCTCTATGTTCAAACCAAGAAGGTGAGGTTATGTTTGGTTTGGTTACATTAGGTTAGGTTTGGTTATGTAAGTCAGTGTGTGTTTGTGTGAGAGAGAGACCTATGTAAAACCCTGTACATGTGTGTGTGACTTATGAGACACCCTGTATATGTAGTTAACCAAACACTAAGATATTTAAATCACCAAATAGAATAAACTAAGGGGTGACTAATCTTCACCTCCCCCCCCCTAGAGAACCTTAAAACGCTAAGTGATTCTCAGCGTCGCCGCAACATTTTCCGCACCCATTATAAAATACGCCTCATCATCCACAGCTTCTTGAGGATCGGCTCGACACGCACATCCGCATCGAGGAGTACCTTCAAGGGCGATCGCTGACCCTGACCTACTGGAGGGAACTGACCCAGCACGATCCCACAGTTCAACTTGGTTATCGACTCACAGTACAAGTTGACCCGACGGAACCTTCCAAGCCTCTGATAGTTTTCCACACTCCTTCTCTGGGGTCTAAGGTAGAGTATAGTGAAACCTCGTTATAGTGGACTTTTCTCTCCGTAGAATCAATTATATCATGGTAAACCTCAATATAATGGACTTTCCTATCCATAGAATCAATTATATCACTGTAAAACCTCGATATAATGGACTTTACCTCATCATATAGTCCATTATATAGAGGTTAAACTATTATAAAATCGATATTTGAGTCCAATGAAAAAATAACCTCCAAGATAACTAAAAATACCCCATCGACGTCGTTACAGGAATCGGAAATTGCCGAACGAGCCATACGCAGCGATCACCTCTCCATCGAACGTCTCCTGGTGCACAGTATTTACCTCCGGACTAAGGCTCGACTCTCGGAACTCAAGCAGGACATGGACTCAAAGCTGGGTGCTGATGCGGAGAAGTGTAAGATGTTGTCTGTCTGTCTGTCTGTCTCTCTTTTGGTTCTCTCTCTGTTGTCTTTCTCTCCTCTCTCTCTCTCTCTCTCTTTCTCTCTCTCTCTATTTTTCTCTCCTCTCTCTCTATTTATATGTCTTTCTGTCTGTCTTTCACTCACTTTCTCTCTCTCTCTTTCTGTCTATCTGTCTTTCTCTCTCTGGTTAGCTTAGGGTGTCTAATCAGGTCAAATAAACTGGGGTATCTAATCATCACGTTAATCCGGTTCGTCATCTAATCGTCACCACTTTACAGGTCAACTCAGTGGCTCTCCGGCCGTCCTACACGTACCCATCCTTCAACCGAACCTGCGATCCGAACAATTGCTGATAACCGTCGATACTCATACGGGCGTCCTCCTTCCTCACGTCCCACAATACGACTCCTGTCCCAACATACCCGACCTCCAGCAAGCACTTAACTACGACAAGACCAAGATCGACGACCTCATCTCGGAACTGAGGTTAGTTTTGGGGCGGTCAGGTCAGGTCAGGTCGATCAACCCTTCGTAAATAGACCAACGATAAATCACCCCGTGCCTATTGACCCCTAGTAAACAAGTCTATGTCGTTGCAGGTATTGGCTGATGCTACGACGGACGGAGAAGACCCTACAGCATCTCCCGGCCACGGCCCACGAACGCCTCCCTCTCATGTACTACACCTCCCATCCTCTTAATGTTCTCGGCAAACATAAAGTCTTCATCACCTTCCACAAGCATCCTGGATATGTGGTGGTGAGTGTGTGTGTGTGTGTGTGTGTGTGTGTGTGTGTGTGTGTGTGTGTGTTGTAGTGTGTATACCTACTGGGTGGTCCATGTGTATGTATATGTGTGTTTATGTCCTCTGTGTGTGTGTATGTATTTTAGTGTGTAAATAATACCACGACATCTTTGTAAACAGATCGTGGAGTTTAACGAGAAGGAAGGTAGTCCGTGTGAAGTAGAACAGAACCTGTACTTCATGGTGGTGAAACAAGCGAGCATCGAGGATAATCCGGACGACGACACGGTCCAGACATCTCTACCCAAGTCCTACATGCGAGCGTACGAGTTAGTGAAGCTCGACTCGTTCGTCTGCACTCACGGACCATCCACTAAGGTCGACGGTAAGATGTGTATATTTATTATTATTATTATTTATTTTAGTTTATCTTTATCATTTTGCTATTTATCTTCTTATTAGTCATTTCTACTTTAGGGTCTTTATTTAGTTTTGATACAGGAGGAAATCTGTCATGGTTGGTACTGAGGGTGACACTGTCTAACACCCTTCTCGGAACCAGGGGGTGGTGGCGAGAGGTACTCAAACGTCCTCTACGTGTGTATGTACTCAGTCGGACTCAAAACCACTGTAGGGTATTGATCATCGGGTGAAATAATGCATTGAGGGGGGGTAGGGAAGTGTGGACGGGAGGAGAGTAATCGTAGACCAGTGTATCGAGACAAACTCACTTTATCACCGCAGTCGTGGAGCCCGGAGAGAGAGCGCTGGGAGGTAAACGTAAGCTACAGCAACGTGGTGAGCCAGCGAGCAAGAAAGTGAAGGTACCGGCCTATTTCCTACCAGACGTCGCTCAGTGTGTTGCCATGAGCGATATGAAGCTTCCTCTCATTCATCTTTCCCTTAAGGTACGCGAGTTCGTTTGTCGGGTTTTATTAAATATTCGGGAAGTTGGTCTATTATTTAAGGCTTTTATTATCCTTTTGTTAGTATTGGTTAAGTGTAGGTTTAGTTATACTGGGTATCCTCCCATATGTGACCTGGCCCGGGGATTGAACCCAGAACGCAGTGGTGAGAGGCACTTTGGGAGATGGCAATTTCAATAAAGATAGGAAATAGAATAAATAATAAACCAGAAATGTGGAAAATTACGGTAAATTCCTCGGACGACGAGTAGAAAATCCTCCATGATGCTATAGGAAGAATCTAATAACATGCGATTGTTTTTATTACCCACAGCTACGGACGCGGAATGTCTTTAACACCGGGGAACAGGTCGAGGAAGGCGGAATGGGCGTTCTGTTGCGTCTGATCGATCTACCGACCGCCGAGGGGCTTTCGTCCGACACTGTCTATGCTCTGAGGAAACACCTACTTTCTGCATCGATCCGTATACAGGCAGCAGTAGCTTGGGTAAATATGGTGGTATGGTGTAAGGTTCATTATCACCACCACTATAAACCACCATTATCACCACCACCACCATCTTCAGTCACCACCACTACCTCCACCTTACATAAAGCATAAAAGTGCACATGGAGATTAGTCCTCCAGTTTATTTGACCTTAAGATTAATCCCCATTATTACCTGGTGGTATTAGGTTAGGCTGGGTTAGGTTAGGTTTTGATCCAGGAGTCATCTTGAACGCATTGTATAATTCTGTAGTGAATAAACCTAACCTGGCCTACCCAACCCTAATCTAACCAATCCTAACTCTAATCTAACCTACCCTAACCTACCCAACCAAAATCTAACCTAACCATACCAACCCAAACTTAAACCACCCTAACCTAAGCTAAACTAACCTGGGACAACTCTCCGCAGCAATTCACCGGCTCGCGTGTGTTTGGGATGGAGTACCTCTTCACCAACTGCCCGGTCACGAGCCTTCACTCGAGGGAACAAGGCCCCAGACGAGCGGCCTATTTCACCTACGAGGTAACGAGCGCCGAACACGTCAACGCCACGGTCGACTCGATCTTGGCCGACTGGAAAACCATCTCAATGCTTTATCAACTCGTTATTCAATTTTCCTCACAATTGTCAGCTTCCAGAGGTACGATTTATAATTACTATTATTATTATTACTATTATTATTTATTATATTATTTTGGGTACTTTCTGGTTATTTCTCGATTCTAATAAATTCTTGAGTCCGGATACATAAGGTTAAAGCACAGTAGAGCGATAGTTATGTAACGTTTGTATTCTGGGAAGGTTGTTTAAATGGACTATGGTTGTTACAGTAAATATAGTCCGGTCATTAAGTAGTTACGACGATTACATAAATTCACTAGAGATTATTAATGGACTATGGTCGTTACAGTGGGCGTGGAGTCGGCAGGAAGTAGCAGCAGCAGTAGTAGTAATATACCCAACCCCAAGACCCTAAACGAGATGGTTCGGGTCAGGTCGTTCAACTATAAGAGCATCACTTTGGCGTATGGGCCGAGTTTCGACGCTTTCTGTATTCTGCGCTACAACCCAGAGAAGAAAGTGTTTACCCTGAGTTTCGGTGAGTGGTGATTGGTCGGTAATTTAACCCTGGAGTTATGGTGAGTTTTGATTGGTGGAAAATGTTCTTTGACCCTGGGATGTCTCTGTGTTAACCCCTTGAGTACAATGCCAGCTCCCCCCCCCCACTCACACACACATCAAAACCCCGTAAATCAAAATATAAAAATGTTTACAATTCGTCAACTTTGTCTCGCAGGTATGAGTGGTGAGGGAGTGTGGGCGACTAACCCCCATACCATAATGCAAGACCAGCTGCAAGACTTAGTGAACCAGACGGGGATTATGGGCCTTGTTGACTTGGCCACGGCCCTACATCACACCTACCAGCCTCTTCTGGCCATCTCTAAGTTGTCCCCGACGCTTCATCTTGGAGTTATCGATAAGGTGTGTGTGTGTGTTTATGTGCGTGTTTGTGTGTGTGGTCGATCTTTATCTTTCCCCACGTACCATTAAACCTTGAGATAACAAACTTCTCTTCCCATATTATTGGTTAGACGGAGGTTTCACATCTAGCGGACACCTCGATATAATGGACAAACCTTTCCATAAAGTCTGTTAAATAGAGGAATACTGTATAAACAAAGGCCCATATAACGTCATTTCTCTACATATCGATCGTTCTTTTGTCAGTCGATAAATAACACGATTTATCCCTCACAGAAACATCAACCCATCAAGAACTTCACCGTATTGCCGCAGTCCCCCACACGAGTCAGCATCATCTATCGTAACGTCTACTGCCTCAACGTCGATCTGCTGCCCAATGGACTCGTCGCGGTGAGAGACGGGGCGTACAGCAGCTTCGAGACGTCTAAACTGATCGAGGAGTTTATCCAGATACAGGGTCTAAAGGTCGGTGTTTACGGCCTCGTTGTATCGTAAGGTCGTGTCGTAAAGGTCAAATGGTATTAATAAGGTCATGTGGTACCCCTAAGAGTCATCTGTTTGTCTGGGGTAGTTAAGGGATTGATACCCGGTGAATGTATAAGCCGCCCTCGAGTCGGTTAGAATCATATTAGTCTGGTGTTGCCACGACGAATATTTAATCACCTTTAAACCCCAACAGGCGTTTCTAAGTAAATACGTTGACGAGACGGCCATCAACATAAGACGCTCGCAATCAGAGGACGACAACCCCCCCACCCCGATACCCATGGACGACACACTCTGGCCCACACCCAAGGCGGCCTCTCCAGCACGCCACGGACCCATGACGCCGCCCATATCGTCAAACCCACACACCCCAGCTAGCCCACATCCAGGGGGCATGACCCAGGTATATCGATATTTGTTTGTTTATTTATCTTCCTCGGAAAGTTGTCATCGTGTGTCCTGATAATACTTGGTGTGGTTAGATTAGCATTAAGGTGGTTCGGTTAGGTTAGGATGGTTAGGTTAAGGTGATTAGGTCAGGTCAGGTCAACATTAAGGTGAAAATAAACTGACATGAATGAGATAAATTTCCTTACAACGCCAACCAACCATCCCCCCCCCCATTCTCCCCTCCAAGACAAGCGGCCACGGTGGATTCGTGTCCAGCCCGGCAACGAGCGGATTCTCGTTAGCGTCGCCGCCACCGCTACCCGGCATGAATCCTTCACCCGCCATGCTGCCTCATCCGTCACCCGGAGGAGGATTCTTGGGGTCCAACTCACCCTCGGCCCCTCAACACGGTGTGTCCTCGCCGGGATTCTTGGCCCCATCTCCAGCCGGGCCGCATTCCGTACCCATGCATTCTCCGGCCTCGGCCATCATGCACGGCCAATGTGAGTTTGTTGACGAGTGCGTTGACGTCTTGTCTTAGGGGTTAAATATATCTCTGGATTTATTTACAAGTCTACTGATGTGTAAAAGTGTAAATATATCTCTTGATGCTTCTTTATTAATTTAAGGTCACATTATATATAATTCACAATATATCGCCTCTAGGATTAAGGAATATATCGGTAATGGTGATAATCTCTGACTGGTTTTATCGCCACAGTAGGGCCGATGTATACGTCCCGAATGCTTCCCAACAAACCCTACGCCGCTGCCGTCCCGACGACCCTCACGCACGACTCCTTCCACACCCTCTGTTCCCCCGCGCAGGTTGGTCGCTCTGTGTGTAATGTTTACTACGGCCCGACCTAAGATATATTAAAAATTGAGTTACAGGCGAAACGACGCTTAAAACGGGTCGTATAGCCGCCCGCATCGTAGCATGCGATAACAGTCCGACTAAACGACGTTGTTACGCTTCCAGGTCGACGAGGGCGGCGATAGCAGCCTGCAGTGCGTTCTCGAGCAGTTCCTGGGAATGACATACATTAAACGACACTTCCAACAGCTGTGCGAAGGATGTGAAGTGGTGAGGATACTCTTTGACTCACCCTGTATTTGTACTAAGCTAGGATAATGATTCAATGTCAAGCATATAAATTCACATAATATTCAGCCATTTATAAAGATTCACATTAAGATTTGACCAAAGATTCAACAATAGATTCACATAATATTCAGCCATTTATAAAGATTCACATTAAGATTCGACCATAGATTCACATTAAGATTTAACGTTACATAGATTCACATAAGATTCAACGATAGATTCTCATTAATATTCACCCTGTGCGTTTACTTCATCACAGCTGAAGCCAGTCGGAGGTATAGAGCCAGGCAGTATACAGTTCAAGACAGAGACACTAAACTGCCAGATGTTAGTGCAGAGTACACCATCATACAACCTGGTGATGAAGCTACAGCCGCTTCCCGAACATGCCGATCAGTGGACCAGCGACGAGCTCCAGGTAGTGTGTTACATCTAACCTAACCCTTATAGATAATAATACAAGTCGGTATATACCAATTACACTTTCCAAATTAGACGATGTCCCACCAATTACATTTCAGGACGCGATCATCGTTGCCAAATTCTGTAATAGATATGCTAGGCCTCACCATTTCTTCTAATATGTCACTGAAGCCACACATCCTCAACATAGCTAAAGCTGCCTCCTGAAAGCTGGGAATGCTGTACAGATGCTGTAGATACTTCACTCCTGAGCAGTTGGTTCAAGTATATAAGGGATTCTTTCGTCCTAACTTGGAGTACTGCTCTCATATCTGGGGTGGCTCTGTTAGATAGGGTGGAACCAAAGGCATTTCGTCTTATTAACTCTCCTCCTTTAGTAGACAATCTCTCTTCCCTTTCTCTTCACCACAATGTTGCTTCACTCTCTCTCTTTTACAGGTACTTTAACGGGCAATGTTCGGTGGATTTGGCATCCTGTGTACCGCCGGCAAGGCCGTGGGCTCATAACACACATCTTGTCCGCGGTGCCCACCGTTTCTCTGTGGATGTCTGTCACACGAGAATAACCCGTTATAGTACCTCCTTCTTTCCTCACACTGTTGAATGCTCTGCCTTCTTCTGTGTTTCCATACTCATACAATCTGTCTCACTTCAAAAAGATGGTTTTTCATCTTCTCGGTGTAGATTAATATAACCTTTTTATTTTATATTATTAATTTATTTTTACTCTTATCCTCCCCCCTTCCAGGCTCCATTGTGGATCGATGACCTGTGCCTGGGTGGGTTAATCCACAAAAAAAAAAATAACACCAACAAAATCACCACTTAACACCCACCAAACACCACTTAACACCCACCACTACAGCTCTTCATTTATCAACAGGTTCTGGAAAAGTTCTTCAGCGTTAAAGTCCCTATCCCACCCTATAGACCGTATGCTGCACAGTCTTACTACAGCATCCTCAAGTTCCCCATCCGTGTTCTCAAAGACTGTATCCGACTCATGCAACTTGAGCTGGTAAGTGGGCTGGTGTGTGTGTTGGGGGTTAAGTATGTGTGTGGGTGTCTGAGTGTGTATGTGTGGTAAGTATATGTGTATAATTGTGTTGATGTGAGGGGGTAAGTATGTCGTGTCTGCGAGTGTGTCTCCGTAAACACTCGATCCGTCAACGTAAACACCAAAGACGTCGTTTACATTACAGATGCCGAGCCCACAGCAGTTACAGCAGATGAAATGGACGCTTCAGTGGTGTCTTACGAGCTCTCCCGTCGGGTCGCAGATCGCCCCCCCAGGGTTGTACGTCGTGGTAGCGTCTCGTAATAAGATCCTCTTCTTCGTAAGTAACTGAGGTCGTTTGTTTGTCTCGTATCTAAACACACCGGGACGTTAAATCTCTCACGTGTGTTTGAGTGTTGGTCCGTTTGGTTTGATTTATTCAGTAAAATTTATATATATTGATTTATATTGATTCAGCTTGTGTGTATATATTTCAGTATTTATATAAACAATTCATCATGTATATAGACAATGCAGGTATACAGTTTGATATTGTCTCTGTGTTTCATATTTATAGTTTACGGATGATTTTGCTGTGTGTGTGTGTGTGTGTGTGTGTGCTCTTCACCCCTATACAATAGGAAACACTTAAGAGTACAATGTTTGTTGTTGCCACAGTTCCAGTTAACGAGGACCAACGTTCAGTTACCGCCGGAGGCCGAGCCGCCGAGCCTGATGCTGCCGGTGGTGTACGACAGCGTGAGCAACAAACCCCAGATGGCCGAGCGTAGAGAGCACGGGATCATCCCCAGCGTCACCCTCCAGGTCATCAACGACATCATGAACCGCGTCGTGGTCCAGACCAACGAGATGGCCCTGTACCCCTGCATCAGAGAGGTGCTGTGTAGCCTCTCCCTCGGCCCGGACGGTAACGCCGTGGCCGTCCCGCCCGTGTCCGTGGGGCAGGGGACCCCCACCTCCACGGTGCCCCAGTCCATGGGTTCCCCGCACCTCGCGTCCCCCCACATGGCCTCCCCCCACACCCCTGGCACGCCCTCGGCCTCCATGTCCCAGGGGATGATCTCGTCGGCCACGGGCACCATCACCACCAACGTGTCCACCCTCAGTAGCCAGAGTATGGTGTCCACCATGTCCTCACAGTCGCACTTCAGCGGACCAAAGCCGGTGTCCGCCGTGGGCCACATGCAGCCCACGCTCAGCTCCATGGGGCAAATGGGGCCACAGAGTATGCAGGCCAGCATGCAGGCCAGTCCCAGCCTCATGCAGCAGAACATGTCGTCCATGGGCGGTGGCATGATGCAGGCCGGCCCGCGGGGCATGCAGGGCGGATCGACCGGTGGACAGATGGCCGGCGGCCCCGGCAGCATGCAGGGTATGTCCACCATGCAAGGTCCTGGCATGCAGGGTGGGCCAGCTGGGATGCAAGGTGGTCCGGGCAACATTCAAGTCGGACCTGGTCCCATGCAAGGTGGCATGCAGGGTGGCCCAGGGGGAATGCAAGGTGGCCCAGGGGGAATGCAGGGTGGTCCAGGTAACATTCAAGTTGGTCCAGGAGGCATACAAGGTGGCCCAGGGGGAATGCAGGGTGGTCCAGGGGGAATGCAAGGTGGCCCAGGTAACATTCAAGTTGGTCCAGGAGGCATACAAGCAGGTATGCAGGGTGGCCCAGGTAACATTCAAGTGGGGCCAGGAGGAATGCAAGGTGGCCCAGGTAACATTCAAGTGGGGCCAGGAGGAATGCAAGGTGGCCCAGGGGGAATGCAAGGAGGGCCAGGGGGAAGGCAGGGAGGATTTGGTGGTAACATAATGAGCCAATTTAGCAGGTAACTTAACACACATACAGGGTGACCAAAAAAAAACCCACACATATACAGGGTGACCAAAACAAGACCCATTACATACACACACACACATACACACATCTTAAACACCCTGTACCACATAAACGAACGTAACTAAAAAGTGTAAATAAACTGAAGCTCGGAAACCACCATCAAGACATCGACATTTACAAAGATATTTTCAGTGGTTAAAGGAAAGATTTTTTGGGGGACTTTAGTTTATTTTAGGCTTTAGGGAATAATAATATAAATGACTCTGATAATGATGTTACTTTTGTTAATAAAATTATATATATATATATTGACGGTGTTTTATTTTTTGCCTTTGTATTTGGTTTATAAAATGTTTTGATTACTGTGGGACTAAGGTGTGTGTCTATGTGTGACTGTGTGTGTGTGACTGTCTATCTATGTGTGTGAGTGTGTGTGTATATATAAATAATAATAATAAGTAACGGTTCATTGAAAAAGTTCTGCAACCTGAAGGCTGAAAATATACATTGGATATACATTGTGTCTATATGTGTGTGTGTGTGTGTGACTATGGGATGTGTGTGTGTGCGTGTCTCAGGTAACTATAAGCTTGGTTGCGTCATAAACGTACATACAAACAAACTTAAATTAACAGATTACACCAAGATTAAAGTCCATTGTGTCGAGGTTCTACAGGGCCCTGTATTAGATATAAAACCTCAATATTATGTACTATATATTAAAGTCCATTATATCAAGATTCTATTAGATATAAAGCCTCAATATAACGAATTATAGAGAGATGAAAGTCCACTAAATCGAGGGTCCTATATATGAAACCCCCAAATAACGAACTATACAGCGAGAAAAGCCCACTACAGTGGTCCCTCGGTTAACGAGCACAATTCGTTCCAGCAGGTTGCTCGTTAACCGAAACCATTGTTTCAATGGGTTTTTGGGTAATTGGTTCCAGCTCACCGAAAATTTCTTAAATTCAACAAAAATGGTAGAAAAGTTCACTTACTTTGAGGTGTGTATGTAGAAGGCTCCTGGATGATGATGATGATGGGAATTAGAATGGGGGTGGAGGAGAAGGAAGAAGAGAAGGCATTGGGGTGGAAGAGAAGTCACCCCATGGCGCCATTTCACCCATAAAATTTTAGTTCTCTTGGTGTATTTGAAGATTATTTTCTTTAAATCTACACTGCACTGCATTATATATTGTCAATATGTAAAATATATTTCAAAATGACCAATAATTTGCTTGGAAACACAGAAAAAAAGCGTTTAGTTGAAGAGTCTCAAGCAAGATGTTACCTCCACTGAAAACAGAGAGAGACTAACGCCTGTCTGGTGTGTTAACAGGCTGGATGGCATGCCAGAAACTAGTTTCTTTACCTTCAATTATGTTCAATAATTGTTAAAATGACTAAAAAAGTTAATATAAAACTTTTAAAATTATTGAATAGTATAAACTTCTTGATATTTACTAAAATAGTAAGGAATTTAAGCCCTAAAACCGATTACTGTATTGGCGGACTAATACTACAGCTGGTGGACCGCCAAATGCAAGCGAAAACATGTTGAAGTCGGCTCGTAAAAAACTCGTTAATCGAGGGATTGCTCGTTAACCGAAGTTAAGAATCTTATGGAAGGTAAATCGTTAACCGAAATCTTGTTAACCGAGGTGCTCGTTAACCGAGGGACCACTGTATAAAGAGGTTTCGCTGTAATTTGGTATAACGACTGACCTGGTGTTACAAATTGGTTAATAATAAAAAAATTAACATATATGGTATTTATAATGACCAATTATGACATTTATGGTGATTGTTAAGTGACAGTTCTTTCAACCTAACCTATCTCGCCTAAACTAACCTAACCTGACCTAATTTTATACTATGACAGGACTCACCTCATCTTACCTCACTTCACTGACCAAAAAACGACATGATATCACCTCACATCTTCACTACAATTAAGTTAAATCTACATTAACCTAACCTAACCAAATCTATTTTTAAATTATAAATAAAAAAAAAAATCTTATATAATGTCATGGAATCTAACAAACTACGAAAGATAATAAATGATATACCTAACTAATTCACCGAACCTAACCATATAGCAAATTGGTAGATATATAACCATAAGTAAATATAACTAATTAACCAAACCTAACCATACCAGAAAGTTGTATACAAAAATAAACTCATTGTAGTCATACTCTTTTTGTTATATATATTATAGGTGAATTATATACTTGTTAAGGTACGTCATAACAGGTATAATATAACTGGATATATTGGACCTGGGGGAGATATGTACGATACAATATACAGTTCGACAAATTCTATCAAATTCTGATTAATTTGTTGGATTTACCTGAAGATTATACCCCGGTAGTTTATTTAACCTGGTGATTAAACTGGATGGTGGTTAGGTTAGGGTAGTTAAGGTAATGTATGGTTAGGTTAGGGTGTTTTATCATCAGGTGAAATAAACTAGGGTGTTTAATCTTCATGTGATCTAACAGAACACTTAATCTCTGTTTGAATCATAAATAAACACAACTCCATATAAAACAAAACTATAATTAATGTTTGTTTGTGATGCGACGACGCCACTGCCAAGACTCGCGGTATGATGGACGAGTCGAGAATTCTAAATCACATTACAGTCGTTAGAGCGCCAATTCATCTTCTGAAAGGCGTTGACCTGACGAAACTTCCTCCTGGGAGCTTGGGAGGCGGTCCGACATGGGGTTTGTTGATCGGTCTGACTGTGGGGTCCATGCCGAGGGACTGTCGCGAATTGACGTCCACCACGGGCCGTCCGCTGATTATCCTCGGTCCTTCGTGTGACGTGGCGGGCGGCATCGCATTGAAGGGCATCGTCAACGTGGGGGAAGTCGCCCCGGGGGATGTGGGAGCGAGTAGAGGCACCGGGTCGCCGGGGTCTGGGGCCGCAGCTCCGGACCCTACAGGTCTGGCCCCGGGACTGGAGGGGCTGGCAGACCCCGACCCCAAGGCAGAATCACCGTCAAACACCGCCTGACTGACGGCCGGTGATTGATGGTGATTGATCTGGGTGTCGGTGAATATTTCTTGTGGGCCGTAGAGTTCCTTCAGGATGAGGAGCATAGTGTCCTCTGACTCCCTGTGGAGAGTTAAGGTTAAGTCACAAGACAACTACATTAACCTGAGCTCTGGTTAAAGTTCACAAGAATACAGACAATTCCACACCACTTAACCCCTTGTGTATGGGGGTCACCTCTGAGCTGAATAAAATCATCTGTTGTTAATATTAAAAGTGTCGTCCCTGTAGTGAAGATAGTAGTCCTATAAATATGACAATTACTACTTAATATAAATTCAAGTGAGCAGTTCTATATAGCTGGGAGAGCTGAGGAACCTTTGGCTACAGGACTTTGTTATTACCACAAACTTCAGCTGCCTGTATTGAGCTATATACAGTTACTTCTCTACAGACAGACATGTGAACAAACATTTAGATATACTGTAGAGCAATACACTGCATTATACTGTCATATACTGTATTAATTACTGAGGTTACAGTGTAGCTCTACAATCTTTCTGCAAGAGTGAAGATGGACTTATAAAGACATGGACTTAAGAACAAACGGACTAACAATAAATGCCCTTAAAACAAACTGACTTACAAACAAACACTTACAAAAAGATAGACTAGTAAACAAACTGACTTACAAACAAACACTTATAAAGATATGTACTTGTAAACAAACCAACTCACGCACAAACCTCATCAACGAAAATCATCCACGAGCAGAGGAACGAATAACCCGGAATTACGTCATATATTCAACACCAAAATCAACACCCGACGTCAACTGATAATGGCCGCCGTCACTTACGAATACGGGGGTTTAAGACAGCCACTAATAAACACCCCTGTACAGTATTGGTCAAATTTTGCTTCTTCAGGTAAAACTTAATTGCGGAAGTCACCGAAACAACTCACCTTAACTGGTGTTTGGTGTGGTGCTGCAGTTTTATTTCAATAGAGGTCGACATTTACAGGTAATTGGACATATTGACATACAGTAATTACCGGTCGTTCAAACAGTTCTTACCAGTATGTGACGTGAGCCTGGAGGGCGAAGATGTACTCGTTGAAACTCTCGTAAGGTTTCTCCTGGAGGACGTAATCGATCCTCCGGCCTTCGTTCAGACGCCCTACTGGGATCCTCAACTCCCCGCCGCTGGCACTGTGAGCTTCCTCGTCCTCCAAGTACAGTTGATCCGCCAACGCCTACAGAGAAGATTACCGTTTACTTTCTCGGTGATTTTTTTTTTTTACTTAAGGATATAATGCTATTGATAGGATGACACCTGTACTGTCTAGGTACATTGTTTATATACCTCGGAGTTCTCACCTGAAGATTAACCCAACACCACTATCACCATCACCGCATCTCACCTCATCGACCTGCGCCTCGAGACTCGGTGATGTCGAGCTGCCACTATAGAGCTCATAGAGACGGTTCCACGTGCTCTGAATCGAGTCCACGATCTTTTGTTTGAACTCTGTGCCGACTCTTTCGATCGTCTCTTTCAACTCTGCGGAAAGAGAGCATTTTATTGGTTAGTTTAGGGTTTGGTTAGATTACGTTAGTGTTTGGGTATTTAATCATCAGGTAAAATAAACTAGGGTGTCTAATCATCAGGTAAAATAAACTAGGGTGTCTAATCATCAGGTAAAATAAACTAGGGTGTCTAATCATCAGGTAAAATAAACTAGGGTGTCTAATCATTAAGGAACTACTACCACTACTTCTACTTACCCAAATGCATTCTCTTCCTGCCCTTGTGGTGGGGGATAAGGACCGGCCGGACGCTCGTAAGACTAGGGTCAATAAGCGTCTCGAGTCTATAAGCGACGGGATCGAACGGGTGGAAGATATTGAACACCCTCTTGCACGTGGGGAGGTGGAAGTCTGAGCTTAGTGTGTCGATTCCTCGCACCGTGATGAACATAGCTGAGGGGAAAAAGGGCATTGGGGTGATTAATGTCTGCCTGTATGATGTGTGTGTGAGAGAGAGAGAAAGAGAGAGTTACCTACTGCCGTTTAGTCTTACACATAAGCTCATCAGAAACTTTCAATGGTGTAATAATTTGATTCATGACATTTGTTGAATATTCTTGTGTGTATATATGTATGTATGTGTATGTTTATGGGTATTTTTTATTTACAGAAGATAAAATAAACAATATTTGTTTTTGAAACATTTTATTTATTTGTTTACATATGAGTTAATAGACTTGTCCACACAGAAGGTTGACTTTATACGAACAATAGTGTCCAGCTCTTACTGTGACATCATAGGTGAGGGGTTTTGTCCGGTGCTAGTTTTGTCCAACGTAGTGTGGATATGGCTAAATAACTCCTATTGGTGATGAATCAACAACTTAAGGTACAGTATTGACCACTGGCGCCTGTCTTGTACACGTGAGCCAACTGTGCACACAGGTTGAGCCATACGTCCTGTAGAGGCGCTCATGGTGTTGGCACTGGTGTTGACTTGGAAGGTTGGGCAATCCGTGAAGGTTGGGCAATCCGGGAAGATTGGGCAATCCGGGAAGATTGGGCAATCCGGGAATGTTGGGCAATCAGGGAAGGCTGGGCAATCCGGGAATGTTGGGCAATCAGGGAAGGCTGGGCAATCCGGGAAGGCTGGGCAATCCGGGAAGGCTGGGCGGGAAGGCAGGGAAGGCAGGCAATCTGGGAAGGTTGGGCAATCAGGGAAGGTTGGGCAATCCGGGAATGTTGGGCAATCCGGGGAATGAGCAAGGAAGGCTGGGCAATCCGGAAGGCTCCGGGAAGGCTGGGCAATTGTAGGGAAGGTTGGGCAAACAGGGAAGATTAAAAGTAATCAGGGAAGGCTGGGCAATCCGGGAAGGTTGGGCACCGTGAAGGTTGGGCAAAACAGGGAAGATTGGGCAATCAGGAAGGCTGGGCAATCCGGGAAGGTTGGGCAATCAGGAAGGCTGGCAATCAGGAAGGTTGGGGCAACTGAAAGGTTGGGCAAACAGGGAAGATTGGGCAATCAGGAAGGGCTAAGTAATCCGGGAAGGTTGGGCAATCAGGTTGGCAATCAGGAAGGCTGGGCAATCCGGGAAGGTTGGGGCAATCCGGGGAAGGTTGGCAATCAGGGAAGGTTGGGCAAACAGGGAAGATTGGGCAATCAGGGAAGGCTGGGGCAATCCGGGAAGGTTGGGCAATCAGGGAAGGTTGGGCAATCAGGAAGGCCAAGCAATCCCGAAGGTTGGGCAAACAGGAAGATTGGGCAATCAGGAAGGTGCTGGGCAATCCGGGAAGGCAATCAGGGAAGGTTGGGCAATCAGGAAGGTTAAAATCAGGAAGGCTGGGCAATCCGTGAAGGTTGGAGCAACCGGAAGGTTGGGCAATCCGGGAAGGTTGGGCAATCAGGAAGGCTGGCAATCCGAAGGTTGGGCAAACAGGAAGGTTGGGCAATCAGGGAAGGCTAAGTAATCCGGGAAGGTTGGGCAATCCGGGAAGGTTAGCAACTGGGAAGGTTGGGCAATCCGGGAAGGTTGGGCAATCCGGGAAGGTTGGGCAATCAGGGAAGGCTGGGCAATCCGGGAAGGTTGGGCAATCAGGGAAGGCTGGGCAATCTGGGAAGGTTGGGCAATCAGGGAAGGCTGGGCAACCCGGGAAGGTTGAGCAATCGGGGAAGGTTGGGCAATCGGTGAAGGTTGGGCAATCGGTGAAGGTTGAGCAATCGGGGAAGGTTGGGCAATCGGTGAAGGTTGGGCAATCTTGGATGGCTGAACAAGCCTGGATGGTTGGATGCAAGGGTCCATCATAACGGTGTAGAACTGAGGATTAACAATAAGTTTTGGATGGATAGTTATGGGTAGCCGACTGAGGGTATGAATCTCTTGTTCGGAAAACCCATTACTAGGATCTCTAACGACCACTATTATGTCGTGTTTCTGAACCACTCCCAACCGACCAATGTTTCTGTTAACTAATTTCCCCAGTTCTTCATATACACTGAACCAGGCTGAGTAACCGTGGAACTTTTTCACGATTACTTCAGCATATTGAGTAACAACGTAAAATATTTCACTTTTTTCAGTACACTGGATCAGGGTGCAGGATATATTAGCCATCAGAAGATCCTTCACTTCTGGGTATTTACACTTGTGGATGTCATAATCTTTCATATATTCCCCCAACATTTTATGACTAGTTTTGAGAATTTTTTAAAAGCATTTGGAATAATCATACGAGTCATCTTCAACTAGAGATTGTGAATCATTGATGGATTCAACATCAATTAATTCACAATCTTCCAACAGATCCACCATAGTTAAACCATGATTATCCACCGACTCAATAGCAATCATTTAACAAACCGCGGTGGACTCCAGATCAACAACTCCCATCTCATCCACGGACTCGACTTAGATTAATATTTCACTTTTTTCAGTACACTGGATCAGGGTACAGGATATATTAGCCATCAGAAGATCCTTCACTTCTGGGTATTTACACTTGTGGATGTCATAATCTTTCATATATTCCCCCAACATTTTATGACTAGTTTTGAGAATTTTTTAAAAGCATTTGGAATAATCATAGAATTTTTTAAAAGCATTTGGAATAATCATACGAGTCATCTTCAACTAGAGATTGTGAATAATTGATGGATTCAACATCAATTAATTCACAATCTTCCAACAGATCCACCATAGTTAAACTATGATTATCCACCGACTCAATAGCAATCATTTAACAAACCGCGGTGGACTCCAGACCAACAACTCCCATCTCATCCACGGACTCGACTTAGATTAATTAATTGCTATCCATGGAGTCGATGTCACCTGTCATAAACTCCAGATATTCAAACACTTCGACTTCACCATCGATATCGTAATAATTATTTACCGAAGTCATTTTCGTACACCGCATAATTACTGTACAGTTGATTTTATGGTCTCCTGGTTGACAAGCAGGTGTGGTGTTGTCTTATTGTAGTAAGAGGTATTGATGGTGATGTATTGTGATGTAGTAATGTCTTATAGTGATGAGGATAGTGAAGTATAGTAGTGTAGTGATGATGTGGAGTGGCAGGTTGTGGTTAGGTGTGTGTGTGTGTGGGTATACAACATCTTCACTACACTATACATGAAGATGTTGTATAGTGATGTGTAGTGAAGGATAGTGATCATGTATAGTGTAGTGAAGATGTTGTATAGTGATGTGTAGTAAAGAATAGTGATCATGTATAGTGTAGTGAAGATGTTGTATAGTGATGTGTAGTGAAGGATAGTGATCATGTATAGTGTAGTGAAGATGTTGTACAGTGATGTGTAGTGAAGGATAGTGATCATGTATAGTGTAGTGAAGATGTTGTATAGTGATGTGTAGTGAAGGATAGTGATCATGTATAGTGTAGTGATGATGTTGTATAGTGATGTGTAGTGAAGGATAGTGATCATGTATAGTGTAGTGATGATGTTGTATAGTGATGTGTAGTGAAGGATAGTGATCATGTATAGTGTAGTGAAGATGTTGTATAGTGATGTGTAGTGAAGGATAGTGATCATGTATAGTGTAGTGAAGATGTTGTATTGTGATGTGTAGTGAAGGATAGTGATCATGTATAGTGTAGTGAAGATGTTGTATAGTGATGTGTAGTGAAGGATAGTGATCATGTATAGTGTAGTGAAGATGTTGTATTGTGATGTGTAGTGAAGGATAGTGATCATGTATAGTGTAGTGAAGATGTTGTATAGTGATGTGTAGTGAAGGATAGTGATCATGTATAGTGTAGTGAAGATGTTGTATAGTGTTGTGGAGAGAGAGAGAGAGAGGAAAACAGAGAGATTGACAGATAGATTGGTAGATTAAATATTTAGACAGTAAAATTATTATACAAGTTTACAATGACTCAAGGGAACTTAGCTCAGGCAAATGAGGTTTGGTTAGGTTAGGTTATGGTAGGTTAGGTTAGGTTAGGTTAGGTTAGGGTAGGTTAGGTTAGGTTAGGTTAGGTTATGGTAGGTTAGGTTAGGTTATGGTAGGTTAGGTTATGTTAGGTTAGGTTAGGTTAGGTTAGGTTATGGTAGGTTAGGGTAGGTTAGGTTATGGTAGGTTAGGTTAGGTTATGGTAGGTTAGGGTAGGTGATGCTATGTTAGGTTAGGTTATGGTAGGTTAGGTTAGGGTAGGTTAGGTTAGATTAAATTACTCTACATTAGGTTGCGTTAAGTTGGCTCACATAATTCACCTTTAAAAACACGACAAGACGCACCTTCGACAAACACAAACGATATTTACTTACCAATCGGAGACCCCATGAGAAAAAACGCTTCGGGGTTGAAATTAACTTTGGGGTAAATGACCGAAGGCTGACCCGTCCCCGCGGCCCCCATCACGTAATTTACCGGGGACGTTATGGAATTGACCCGACCTCTCAAGCAGTTGTCGTGGTCGTCCTGCGGGAGAATTGGGCGGCGGTGAGACCTGGATTTAGCGGACTAATTTTATATAGTTGAGATTGTCAGTTAGGTTTACAGTATTACATTGTTTGACTAGAATAGATTATATAAAGTATTTTTTAGCCAAGAAAGAATCTATCAAACACGTACAGCACAGCACATTACCTTCGGGGATGACAGCGAACTATCGACAGAATCCTCGTGCTCTTGCGACTGGTGCATGAGCAGGTCAAAGAGGATGACCGAACCTAACGAGTGACCTCCTAGGGAAACCAGGCCATTGAACGAGGGGTTACGGGTGCAGAACAGGGCGTGAAGGCGATTCAGTTCCGACACTACGGTATCCATGATATGCTGTGAAGAGAAGAGTCGTTTGTGTACGTGACGGGATTATACGCACATGTAGGTATTAACTAACGTACACACAGAGGTAGAGGATCCTTATCATATGCACATACATACATATAGAGGACTCCAACTAAATATACTGTATACATAATTATTTACACACACATACGCACAGCATCCTAACCTCTCTTACACACACACACACACACACACACACACACACATACATACATACAGCTCCCCCCATTAAACGCACACACAGAATATTGATAGAGAAAAATAGACCCTCGATATAATGGACTTTCTTCACTATATAGTCCATTTAAAAGAGGTTCAGTATAATGGAGCTTCGATATAATGGACCTTTGATATAATGGACCCTCGATATAATGGACTTTCTTCACTATATAGTCCATTTAAAAGAGGTTCAGTATAATGGAGCCTCGATATAATGGACCTTTGATATAATGGACCCTCGATATAATGGACCCTCAATATACTGGACGCCTTGATATAATGAACTTCCCTCACCCTACAGACCATTAAATAAAGGTTCACCATACCTGACAGTAGATGGGGCTGTTGAAGAGAAGCACGTCCAGGATGGTGTCGTTGGTGAATTCCCGTAGTTTGGGTATCGACCGCAGGGTGATTGGCTTGAGCTTCTCGTCGATACCAGTAGCATCGCCGTGGAGAGCCTGTGAAAGATGACGCACCCGGAGGTCTTTTATTTACTTTATGTCTAGTGCGCCGTCCATAATTAATTCCCCGAACACTGGGTATGAACCGTAGTGTGGGGGGATTTAACTTAACGTCAATACCCAGAACATCGCGTTAAAGTCGACGTAGATGTGTATTAAACCTTATTTTTTGTGACGTTAACTGCAAGTCCAGACCACCCCGCCCCCCCCCAGTTATATAATTCTAGTTAATTGTTAAACTTTTCAGGTAACTAATTACTACAAATTAGATTACCTCAAGATTAGCCCAACTAATTTATTTCACCTAACGATTAAACACTCATAGTAACCTGACCAATCTATACATGGTGAACTGTATACCTACAATGTCTATACACACTGAACTATACACCAACATCTATACAACGACAGAACCAATCGTAAACATACACAATAATTCCTACCACCTAAATATGCTAATCACCTCACTTGACATATAAGTACCCAATTAAGTGATGGTTATAAGTAGAAGGTAAGTAATTAAGTCACTTTTCTATACCTTATGCCAGGATATTGGGAGAATTTCCACTCGGCCGACTAGCCCCATGTCGACCGACTGCTTGAAGTGACTCGACAACAGCTGCTGGCCGAGCTTGCGGAAATCGTCGACTGAAATAGAATAAAAAAACAACTGAAATAGGATGAAATAAGCTGAAATAGGGTGAAATAAGCAGAAAGAGAATGAAATAAGCTGAAAGAGAATGAAATAAGCTGAAAGAGAATGAAATAAGCTGAAATACAATGAAATAAGCTGAAATACAATGAAATAAACTGAAATTCAACAATAATATCAGTACATTATTATTTTTGGGGGGATTACCATGAAGACATTAATCTGTACAGTTCAGTTCAGTTCAGTATAATAAAACACAACAGTCACTCAGTTTAGTATATTCAGAACACATCAGTCAATCAGTTCAGTATATTCAGAACACATCAGTCAATCAGTTCAGTATATTCAGAACACATCAGTCAATCAGTTCAGTATATTCAGAACACATCAGTCAATCAGTTCAGTATATTCAGAACACATCAGTCAATCAGGCAATACTCCCCACCACACGTCAACTTACCGCACTCTTCGACGGCTCTGAAGCGCAGGTCACACACTGACCCTATGCCGTGAACCAAAAACAACAGATGGTCGACTTTCTCCGCTTCTCCGTCTTCTATCTCGAAATCTTCGGTCCCGCGCTTTACTGTCAGAGGCGTTTGAGATCCCTTGAATAAAATAAAATAAATAAATAAAAAAAAAACACGATTTATTGTTTACTCTCGTGGTAACCAATCAGATATGTTTATCAGTGCGGGGGAAATGAATCGGAACGTACGTGATGGTGTTTGGTTGGGTTTGGTTGGGGTTACGTTGGGTTTGGTTGGGGTTACGTTAGGTATATAAATACTCACATTAACAGACACCCCTGTAGAATATTCCCCCTCCTCGCCGACACTGACGTAGTGGATCATGGCTCGAGACGAATGAATCATTATCCGATCGCCGCCCTTGATGTCGATTTGCCGATGCCAGTGTCCGGTCACAACGCGTTTCGAACTCACTCTGGGGTGGGGAGTTCGGGGGTAGAGGTGAATAAGACTATTAGCGCAAATTGAATTATTTCAGGGTTTCGTAAAGGCAGCAGTGTGTGATGTAGGGTTTGTTTTCACTGCGTTTGTTGACACACGAGAGAGAGAGAGAGAGAGAGAGAGAGAGAGAGAGAGAGAGAGCGTGTTGGTAGATAGATAAATAAACATAAATTGATAGATAAATAAATTGAAATATGTAAACGAGATAAGACAAATAGATATATAGACAGACAGACAGACACAGAGCAAGACGTCACCACCCACCTCCAATTTCTCCGACACCTCCTCGTCATAGGGCAGTGGCTGGGCGTCGAGAGGTCCCTTCTTGAACCAGCTGCACCGGCGTATGGGGCTGGGGTGGTCTTGTTCCCAGTACACAGCCCTGCGTAGTCGCTCCTTGACGGACACATCGTATCTGCCGCCCTCTGTTGGTACCACGTCGCTGCTGCCTGGGGTGGGAGAGCGGTCGTCGGTGTGTCAGGATTTGCAGCGTTGGGTTCGGTTGGGTTACGTTAGGGTTGGGTTTGGGTTAGGTGGGGTTAGGTATATATATATATATCCACACTGTCCCTAATGTTTCAAGGGTACAGTTCCTAACCTAATCCATCCTAAGCTAACCCAACCCAACCTAAGCTAAGCTAACCCATCCTAAGCTAACCTAACCCAACCTAAGCTAACCCAACCCAACCTAAGCTAAGCTAATCCATCCTAAGCTAACCCAACCCAACCTAAGCTAAGCTAACCCATCCTAAGCTAACCCAACCAATCCTAAGCTAACCCAACCCAACCTAAGCTAACCTAACCCATCCTAAGCTAACCCACCCCATCTTAACAACACCACAGTACCAACCTTGCAAATACATTTCCTCCAGTTGAAAAGAATCCGCGAAACTGAACGGCTTCCAGACTTGAGGTCGACCGACGCCATAAAACCAGTGGTGGATGACGGGGTGGTAAACATTGCCCAGCACGGCGGTATTATTGGCCTGCGGAAAGACAAATTTTTTGAAGACTTTTGCATTGTGTTTTGAATTTTAGGCACCTTAGTTTTATTCACCTGAGGATTTATCACTCTATTGCCAAGCTAATCTAACTTAAAAGTAATCTAATTTAACTGACTGTAACCTAATCTAACTTAATTTAACCAATCGTAACCTAATTTAAATGACTGTAACCTAATCTAACTTAATTTAACCAATCATAACCTAATTTAACTGACTGTAACCTAATCTAACTTAATTTAACCAATCATAACCTAATTTAACTGACTGTAACCTAATCTAACTTAATTTAACCGATCGTAACCGAATTTAAATGACTGAAACCTAATCTAACTTAATTTAACCAATCTTAACCTAATCTAGCTTAATTTAACCTACCCTAACCTAACTGAATGAAATCCGCCGAACCAAAGCTCGACGACAGATCCTCACCATATTCTCAAAAGACGGAGGAATCACAGCCGCCTGGTCCGGGGGCGCGTACAACATCCCAGGGGGCGTTGGAGTCGGGGTCAGGAAGGCGGCACTGGATTTCTCGGCCTGGAGACTGACGTTACTCAACCCCGCATCCAGAGGCGTCGCTCCGAAGGGCAGACCGGGCACTGGAGACGAAACACTGGTCATGGGTATCTGTTCGGTGGTATGGGGTATCAGATTTCCACTACCGGATGAATAGGGTGGTGAGATGCGTGGAATGTGAGTCGGTAGCGGCGAGGAGGGGAACTGAGACAACCCCGCGGCTGTTCTCTGGGGGGGGCTGGGTAGCGGCGAGGAGGGAAACATCTGGGTGGGACCGTAGGGCGTCGACTGGACCACATATTTGGTCTTGGGTCGACGTAGACTACTAGCGCCTGAAACGACATACACACGGACTAAATACCCCCACATATAACACGGGACATGTATTAACAACCCCTAACAGCGTATTAACAACCTCTAACAGCTTTCACAACAACTGCATAGACATTTGACTACAACCGATAATGACAAAACAGACACAATTGGTAAGGATTTAATTATTGTATACATGTGTGTGTGTGTGTGTGTGTGTGTGTACTTCTTAATGTATGTGTGTGTGTGTGTGTGAGATGTGTGTGTACTTGTTAATGTGTGTGTGTGTGTGTGAGATGTGTGTGTACTTGTTAATGTATGTGTGTGTGTGTGTGTGTGTGTACTTCTTAATGTATGTGTGTGTGTGTGTGTGAGATGTGTGTGTACTTGTTAATGTGTGTGTGTGTGTGTGAGATGTGTGTGTACTTGTTAATGTATGTGTGTGTGTGTTAAAAAAGTAAAACCTCTATATAATGAACTTTCCTCTCCATGTAACCCCATTATAAGAGTCACTATAAGATATAAGTATATTTGTATGTTAATTTAAGCATATGTTAAGTACCATAAGTATTTGTTAAGTATACACACACATCCCCACTACTTAACTCACTACAGTACTTTAAGCAGGTACTACAAAGACTTCTAAAAACACTACAAAATTCTTATATACTTAAAAGAGTTTATTTTTTTTGTATAATTCCAATAATGTTTTTTTTGTTATGGGCAGTCAAAGGAGGATAAATAATGACAATAATAATGATAATAATAATGATGACAATGATGATGATGATAATAATAATAATATATAAGCCTCCGGACATTAATCCATTGATCTATGAATGAGAGAGAGAGAGAGAGAGAGAGAGAGAGAGAGAGAGACCTCATCTCACCTCTCTTATCAGCGCCTCCAAGATCAACTGGGGAGAATTCGACCGAGGACGGACGAGGGTCGGGGAGCGGCAGGCCGAGAGGGACCTGACCCATGATGTTGGCTTCTGAGGGGGCGAGGAGTCCTGCTGTCGAGAGTGGGTTGATGTGGGTCATGGTAGTGGGTAATGTGGGTGGGGGGAGGGTGATGGCCGACAGGTGGTGGGAGGGTGGTGGGCCGACAGGTGTAGAGGGTGGTGGGCCGACAGGTGTGGTAGAGGGTGGTGGGCCGGACAGGTGTGATAGAGGGTGGTGGGCTGACAAGTGTGGTAGAGTGGTGGGCCGACAGGTGTGATAGAGGGTGGTGGGCCTATCAAGTGTGGTGGTAGAGGGTGGTGGGCCGACAAGTGTGGTAGAGGGTGGTGGGCCGACAGGTGTGGTGGAGGGTGGTGGGCCGACAGGTGTGGTGGAGGGTGGTGTCGACAGGTGTAATAGAGGGTGGTGGGCCGACAGGTGGTTGAGGGTGGGCCGACAGGTGGGAGGGTGGTAAGCCCACAGGTAGGTGGTGGGCCCACATTGTGTGTGACGGTGGGCCGACAGGTGGTAGCCTGGGTGGTGGGGCCCAAGGTGGTAGACGGTGGTGGGCCCACGTGTGTGGTAGACGGTGCAGGGCCGACAGGTGTGGCAGAGTGGCAGGGCCGACAGGTGTGGTAGTGGGAGGTGTGCCAACAGGTGGTGGGGCAGAGAATGGTGGGCCTACAGATGGTGTGGCAGAGAAAGGTGGGCCAACAGATGGTGTGGCAGAGAATGGTGGGCCAACAGGTAGTGTGTGGCAGAGAGAATGGTAGGGCCAACAGGTAGTGTGGCAGAGAATGGTGGGGCCAACAGATGGTGTGGCAGAGAATGGTGGGCCAACAGATGGTGTGGCAGAGAATGGTGGGCCAACAGGTAGTGGCAGAGAATGGGCCAACAGGTGTGTGGCAATGGGCCAACAGGTAGTGTGGCAGAGAATGGTGGGCCAACAGGTAGTGTGGCAGAGAATGGTGGGCCAACAGATGGTGTGGCAGAGAATGGTGGGCCACCAGATGGTGTGTTAAAAGGTGGCAGATTAACCAATTGAGGAGGAGCATAGGGTAGCACGTGGTCAGGAGGAACAGACCCGGTAAGCAGACCCTTCGACATTAATCTACCGGGTGAAGGAACACAATGGGGGCTAGTGGTGAGTGTGGCAGAGGGATACGGCCGCGGGGAAGGTGCGGCACTCGGGGCTGGGTGCGTGGACGGGGTGACGGGCCGAGGAGCACTGGAGAAGACGTTCGCTGTGGTCGCCTCGGAGGGAATCGTGAACCGTGAGGCCATTCTGGGATCCACTCCGCTGTGCCCATCACCAGGGGATTTTTCTTCAGCCGACGCGTCTAGTTGAGCAGCCGCCGGATGAATCTGCTCCTGAACGCCATCCGGTCCTCCCATACCTGTCGGGGGGGATTAAGCTTAAAGCATTTAATATAATCCTTCCCTCATATATCACATCTGGGTCTCTTAGTGGAATAAAACCCGTATGACTTAATGAAACATGATCCATTATAATTATTAAAGTATTTCTGAGTTATATTTCTCACCTCGATAAGCTTACCCCCAAGAACAGCTATTTAAGCTTATTATTAGCTTTTATGACTTTTAGCTTCAGAAGGAAATATTTCGTTCCCTAACACAGGTTGATAAGACAGTTAAACAGCTTGATAGATATTTACACAGCTTGTTAGACAGTTAAATAGCTTAAAGACAATTACACAGCTTGATAGACAGTTCCCAGCTTGAGAGAAAATCACACAGCTTAGTACAGTTAACGATACACACAAAATAATGAATCTATATGATCTTCTATATTATTACCTCTATCACCATTACGTAAGGGAGGAATAAGAACTGCTGGAGGCTCAAAACCATCATAACCAGAGGTATTACTGGCTGAAAACAGGAGAGGATTAATGGTCTGGTTCCTGGACATCTTGTCTTAGGGGGAGGAAATGACGTCATAAACTACCTATTACCTTGTTACTAATTATACCACGAACCAAAATTATATTATTTTAGTTAATTTATCTGTAATTAATTTATTTTTAATGTTATATAATCTAATTAATTACATTGATATTATTATTTTATCTTATTTTATCTTTAAATTAACTAAAATATAATAGAAATAATATATAATAAGCAAGAGTTTGTTCGTGGTTTATACATAACACTACACAACATGACGTCACCAAAACAAACAATAACAATAGGGATAATAATGATAAAATAATAATAAAAAATAAAAAAAATAAAATATAACAATAAAATAAAATAATAACTAATATTAATAACATTATTTAAATTTAATAATCAACTTTAACTTATAATTAATAGTGAAATATATAAATAATCCCTTAACTCCAGGACTCTATGGTGAGGGGGAGACTAAAGAGGAAGATCTTGGTAATTATCACTAAATCACCTAGTTATGGTGTTATTAACGAGGTGTGGTTGACTTAGAGGTTATTTAAGGCTGGATGATGTGGTTTTTGTGGTTATTTTATGTTTTTGTGGTGTGGTTGAGGTGGTGTGATAGGGTCTCTTAGTAGATTATTGTAGGGTTATTTTCAAGCCAATTTGACCCCTATTGACATTTCTTTTAATATAATTTCTGAATATAGTTATAATAGAGACTTATTTTAGGGTTATTATATGTAAAATAGGTAGTAGATTGTTATTGATATATTATAATGATTATTTTTTTTTTCGTTCGATGTTTCCGAAAAAAAAAATAATTGAAAAATACACCAAAAAAAAACACTAGAAAAACAGAAACCTAACCTAACCTAACCTAACCTAACCTAACCTAACCTAACCAAAAAAAACACTAGAAAAACAAAAACCTAACCTAACCTAACTGACTCTCACCATAAGATGTAATCACCTATTTCTTACCCTAATGGCCTGGTTCTTGTTCGTCGTTGGATTCTTACCGGTCACGTATGTTGGTCTTTACGGTCTTTACATTGTCGTGGTCTTAGTACACTTACCCGAGGTTGGAGGAACACCGAGCGGTCAATAAACTGCTATAGTTTCTTCGTCTTTTCCCCCCAACTCTCCATCAGCTCCATATACCTTAAGAGACATCCACCGCAGACTTCCATGGTCGGAACTGAACTTGAATTTCAATATATGAGACTCAAAATAAAACTCAATTTTGATTGGTTCAAATATACTGCGCATTAGACCCAAAATCATTTTAATTGGTTCCAATATCAAAAACGCGTTTGATTGGCCGCTTAACGTGTACGGGAACACACGAGCGTTATGATTTATGAAGGAGACGCGAGAGACAGCAGTGTTGGAGGTGAGAGGCAGACGATAATGGCGGAAGATTAATGGAAGAAAATAGAGAAATTTTTTGGGAAAGAGCTGTCTCCGTTATTATACATTTCCGCCGGTAATGTATTAGATGGAAATTATCTTATAATTAGACGTCTTATTAGAATATGATAATAGATTAGTGGTAGGAATGAACGGTGTGTAAACGCAATAATACCTAACATCCTTGGGAGTTAGGTTAGATTAGGGTAGGTTGGGTTAGCTTATGTTAAGTTAGTGTTAGGTTAGGTTAAATTAGGGTTAAGTTAAGATCATTAGGTTAAATTAGTGTTAGTGCTAGATTATGTTGTGTTAAGTGGGTGAAAGGAATCAATAAAGGGGATATAGATAAAGTTCTTATAATATCGGAGCAGGATAGGACTCGGAGCAACGGATTTAAGTTGGATAAGTTTAGGTTTAGGAGGGAGATAGGAAGAAACTGGTTCACAAATAGGGTGGTGGACGAGTGGAACAAGCTTAGCAACTTTGTAGTAAGTGCTGGAATGCTGGAAAGTTTTAAAAGGAGGCTGGATAGATTCATGGATGATAGAGAGTGGTAGTAACTCTCGACAGGAGCTGCCATGAACTGACCAACCACCCTACTGCAGACTCCTTATTTTCTTATGTTAGGTTACTGTCACTAAATATTTAACTTATTATTTACAGGGTATTACTGACCACAGACCACAAGGAACGATGAACGAGACGTCGATGAAACTCGCTGAACGCCTCGTGCCGTCGACCTACCTCAAACAAGCAGCTGACTCCAGAGTTATACGAGAGAAACTGATCAGAATGCTGGTTGAACAGGTACGATGGGGGGCAAACTTTCCCCCCACCCTCCCTCTTCCCCCCCTCCTCTGCAGTCCCCTCCCCCTCCCTCCCTCCATCTGTAAAGTTCCTAAGCCAGCTGGGGAACGTCTAGTGGGCTGGGGTGGGTGTAGGGGTGTGTGGGTGACTGGGTGGGTGTAGAGGTGTGTGGGTGACTGGGTGTACTAAGTATGCAGGTGTACTAGGAGAGGTATGAGGGGTGGACTAGGGTGTAAGGGGTGGACTAGGGTGTAAGGGGTGGACTAGGGTGTAAGGTTTCTGCGACCACAGCAAGATGCCCCACAAGGTATTAAACGCACTAATCCACTTACACGTGTCTGTCACAATGAAGGAGGTGTACATGGATATATTTATGTTTTCTTTCACGCTTTACAAATTTATTTACAAGAGAGAACAGTTTTTTTTTTATTTACAAGAGATAAAAGTTTTTACAATTTTATTTACAAGATATAACACTTTATATAATTTTATTTACTAGATATTAAATAAGTTTGTTTTTTATCGAATTTAGTGGGGTTTTTAGTACATAGAGTTGAATAGCGCTTTAGATAGTTAAAATAGAATACCTTGTAATGTTGAATAAATACTTTAATATTTTTCAAGTATTGTAATGGATTAAAAATATTATTTGTTGATTTATTTTAATATTAACTTCTAATCTTCTGAAATTAGACACCTTGATTTATTTCACCTGATGATTGAACTAATCTAACCCTGAATACCTCAACCTAACCTAACCTACCCTGACCCCCAAGGTAACATTAAGGCATTTAATCATCGGGTGAAATAATCTAGGGCGTCTCATAAGGAGATTCGTAACTTATAAACAAACCCTCGACTGTTTATCTCGCAGCGGAAGTGTCCCCAAGACGGCTGGGACGACGACACGATAGAATTGATGGTGAAAGATTTAGCTCTGATGGACAGCAACAAATTCCTTCACAACAGTGGAGTAGGAGAGAGAGAGGCAAGAATATTCTCAGGTATGGGGTAGTTGATGAACGAGGCCGTTGGTAACTCTAGCCCTTAGGGATCACCTGAACATTAGACCCCACCCCCCACAGATAGTTTTTCAGGGTGGTTAAGCTGGGGTGACTTCAGGTGAGCACTTGGGGGAGCTAATCTTCAGGTGAGCACTTGGGGGGGGGGGGCACTAAAATCACAAAAGTTATCATTCATTCTGTCAACAACATTCGCCTCTTTTCGTAACCCTAAGATAAAATACCAAACGACATCAATTCTCCGCAGAGCTCGTTTCTCGTCGGCACTACGGTCTCTGCCACGGGATTGGTCGATCTGGCGACATCGCAGAGGTACAGCCTAAAGCAGCGGGTTCCAGTCTGTTGAATAAGCTCACCAATGCCATGACCCTCGATATTATTAGAACTCTTGGTAAGTCTGGGGCCCACTCTATCGACCAATGGCCCATCACTTTACTCTCTCGACCAATGGCCCATCACTTTACTCTTTCTCTCAATGGCCCATCACTTTACTCTATCTGGCCTCATCACTTTACTCTCTCCAATGGCCATCACCTTACTCTCTCTCGACCAATGGCCATCTCTCGACCAATGGCCATCACCTTACTTCTCTCTCGACCAGTGGCCCATCACTTTACTCTCGACCAATGGCCATCACCTTCTCTCGACCAATGGCCCATCACTTTACTCTTCGACCAATGGCCATCACCTTTTACCAATAGAGAATCTAAATCATGTATAACGTTTATTAAAAAATTTGTGTTTACACGCCCCACAGGTGTGAGAAAAGCAGCCGCCTGTTTGGTCGTACCTCTGGCAACGGGGATGAGTATGGTGCTGTGTCTGTTGACCCTTCGGCAGCAGCGACCCTCGGCAAAGTACGTCATCTGGCAGCGTATAGATCAGAAGTCGTGCTTTAAGTCTATAATCACTGCAGGTATGATGTGTTTTGTGTTGTCATTATCATCGTCATTGTCATCACCACCACCACCACCACCACCATCACAACCACCACCACCACCACCACAACCACCACCATCACAACAACCACCATCACCATCATTTTATGGACATTTTCTCCCAAATCTTCGCAGAAATCATAAATAATTTTCATATTTTTCAAAGTTAATATAAAATTTAAAAAAAAATCCTAATTAATGAGTTTCACAATTTATTTGAAAAGTTTATAGGAAAATATTAAAACTTTCTTATTTATTTTATGTGTCTATATAAACCCCAATTAATTTGCCTTTTACAAAGTCTTTAAAAAGTTCCAATAATATGTCTTGTATCTTACACGGAAACACGAATAAAATAAAATCGCAAACGTCTCTTCTCAGGGCTCGTACCAGTTGTCGTGGAGAATATCCTCGAAGGTGACGAACTCCGAACAAATGTAGCGGAAATCAAGCGACAGATTGACGTGCTCGGGCCAGATGCCGTTGTGGCGGTAATGACAACAACCAGCTGTTTTGCTCCCCGTGGTATTGATAAGCTTGAACAGGTGTGTTTTAGTATGGGGTGTGTTATAGTTCACACACACACATGTACAGGGTGTCTTATAGTTCACACACACATGTACAGGGTGTGTTATAGTTCACACACACACATGTACAGGGTGTGTTATAGTTCACACACACATGTACAGGGTGTGTTATAGTTCACACACACATGTACAGGGTGTCTTATAGTTCACACACACACATGTACAGGGTGTCTTATAGTTCACACACACATGTACAGGGTGTGTTATAGTTCACACACACACATGTACAGGGTGTGTTATAGTTCACACACACATGTACAGGGTGTGTTATAGTTCACACACACATGTACAGGGTGTCTTATAGTTCACACACACACATGTACAGGGTGTGTTATAGTTCACACACACATGTACAGGGTGTGTTATAGTTCACACACACATGTACAGGGTGTCTTATAGTTCACACACACATGTACAGGGTGTTATAGTTCACACACATGTACAGGGGGTATAGTTCACACACACACATGTACAGGGTGTGTTATAGTTCACACACATGCATGTAGTTCACACACACATGTACAGGGTGCAGTTCAAGCACACACACATGTACAGGGTGTCTATAGTTCACACACACACATGTACAGGGTGTGTTATAGTTCACACACACATGTACAGGGTGTCTTATAGTTCACACACACATGTACAGGGTGTGTTATAGTTCACACACACATGTACAGGGTGTGTTATAGTTCACACACACATGTACAGGGTGTGTTATAGTTCACACACACATGTACAGGGTGTCTTATAGTTCACACACACATGTACAGGGTGTCTTATAGTTCACACACACATGTACAGGGTGTCTTATAGTTCACACACACATGTACAGGGTGTGTTATAGTTCACACACACATGTACAGGGTGTCTTATAGTTCACACACACATGTACAGGGTGTCTTATAGTTCACACACACACATGTACAGGGTGTGTTATGGAACACACACACATGTACAGGGTGTCTTATAGTTCACACACACATGCAGGGTGTCTTATAGTTCACAGTACAGGGTGTCTTTATAGTTCACACACACATGTCAGGTGTGTTATAGTTCACACACACATGTACAGGGTGTCTTATAGTCACACACACACATGTACAGGGTGTCTTATAGTTCACACACACATGTACAGGGTGTCTTATAGTTCACACTCACACATGTACAGGGTGTCTTATAGCTCTCACACACACATGTACAGGGTGTCTTATAGTTCACACACACATGTACAGGGTGTCTTATAGTTCACACACACATGTACAGGGTGTCTTATAGTTCACACACACATGTACAGGGTGTCTTATAGTTCACACACACATGTACAGGGTGTCTTATAGTTCACACACACATGTACAGGGTGTCTTATAGTTCACACACACATGTACAGGGTGTCTTATAGTTCACACACACATGTACAGGGTGTCTTATAGTTCACACACACATGTACAGGGTGTGTTATAGTTCACACACACATGTACAGGGTGTGTTATAGTTCACACACACATGTACAGGGTGTCTTATAGTTCACACACACATGTACAGGGTGTCTTATAGTTCACACACACATGTACAGGGTGTCTTATAGTTCACACACACATGTACAGGGTGTCTTATAGTTCACACACACATGTACAGGGTGTCTTATAGTTCACACACACATACAGGTGTCTTATAGTTCACACACACATGTACAGGGTGTCTTATAGTTCACACACACATGTACAGGGTGTCTTATAGTTCACACACACATGTACAGGGTGTCTTATAGTTCACACACACATGTACAGGGTGTCTTATAGTTCACACACACATGTACAGGGTGTCTTATAGTTCACACACATATGTACAGGATGTCTTATAGTTCACACACACACATGTACAGATTACTAACACGTCTTCACTCTTCAGGTAGCGGCTCTGTGTGCTGAGTTCAAAGTACCTCACCTAGTCAACAACGCTTATGGTCTACAGTCATACAAGTGCTTACATCATATAGAAAGTGCGGCAAGGTATGACTGAGTTGGTTAGGTTAGATATTGTCTAGGTACATTGTTTGTATACCTATATTGTCTATATACATTCCAAACTGCATCTAGACAGACTCGAACCTAGACTAAACCTAACCTAGACTAAACCTAACCTAGACTAAACCTAACCTAGACTAAACCTAACCAAACTCCAAACTGTATCTACAGTGTCCCTATCGACACTAAACCATTTGTAAACACGTATGACAAATTTTACCGGACGAATATCCATCTATTTATCTACCTCTTTTTCCCAATAGTTTATGGCGCATTGATGCCTTCGTACAGAGCACCGACAAGAATTTTATGGTGCCAGTTGGCGGTGCCATCATCGTTGGATTCAATGCCAAGTTTATCGAGGAAGTGGGCCAAATGTATCCAGGTGAGAGTGTGGGGCGGCACTGCGTAGGGTGTCATACAGGGATAAGTCGTGTTGTGGTGCCGTATAGGGTGTGTCGTAGGTCATATCATGTGTAGGTTAGGGGTCATTGGTTTATGTAAAGTTACAATACCGGAGATTAGGTCATATTAGGTCATATTAGGTCATATTAGGTTAGGTTCTGTCTGGGTTAGGTTAGGTTAAGGTGACATCAGAATGGCTAATGTTAAAACAAACTAGCGAGCGTCTAGTCACTAACCTAACCCCTCGGAGACCAATCAAAACATTACGTCTTGTTCCAGGTCGTGCGTCAAACAGCCCAATAGTTGACCTCTTCATAACTCTTCTCTCTATGGGGGTCAAAGGTTACAAACAATTGCTTAGAGAGCGGAAAATGCTGAAGGAGATGTTGGCCGAGCAGATGTCATCCGTGGCCGAGAAGCACGGCCTACGAGTCTTGACCACGAAGAATAATCCCATTTCTATTGGTGAGGAGGATTGCTCTAGGGTTTACCGATGCTGTATATATATATTTTTGTTTTTATTATTTTCTGCGGTAGAATTTGTCCCATTTGCTTCAATCCTTGCTTCATTTGTCTCATTACTTGCTTCACTTATCCTACTACTTGCTTCACTTACCCCAGTCCTTGCTTCACTTATCCTACTCCTTGCTTCACTTGCCCCATTTCTTGCTTCAATTACCCCATTTCTTGCTTCACTTACCCCAGTCCTTGCTTCACTGCCACTTTACATCAATATCAAACATTTCTTACTTCAGTTCACCCGATGTAAACATGTCTGTCTTAACCCCCCCCAAAGCAATGACTGTCCCCTCTCATGGGACTTCTTCTCTGACGGAGCTCGGGTCAATGATGTTCCTACGAGGTATTTCCGGCGCGAGGGTCATCAACACTAAAGCAGTTAAGACGATCGCTGGAGTCAAGTTTACCGGTAAGTAAACAACCGCAGTTATTGTCGGTGTATATTAGAAATCGTGTGTTTGCGTGTTTGTTTGGGTTGGGTGTTTACGGTTGTTTGCTTTGCGGTTAAGCGTAAATTTGATTGTGTTGGCTCTTGTAATGATTAATTCTTAAGAGATCAAACCTAACCCTAACCTAACCCTGACCAAACTTGATTATTGTGGGAATATATTAGAAATTGTTTGTTTACCTTCTGTATATTTTGCGGTTAATTGTATGGATAAACCTCATTATGTCGGCTCTTGTAACCAAACCCTAACCAAACCTATCTTAACCCCTACAGCTCCCTCCTTACCTTCTTTCTCCATTGAAGGATTAACACGAAACAATTTAAAACACACATAACGAAAGCACGAAGCCTTCATTAGTTCTGATCTCTACAGGTTGGGGGAGCCACTGCGAAAGCTACCCTCATCATTACCTAACGGCCGCGGCGAGTATTGGCATGACAAACAAGGACTTAAAACTCTTCATTACCCGTCTAGACAATTGTCTGAAAACCTTCAGAGCGGCCGAGTCTCTTCCATCTCCCCAGACTATTGGCGCGGCCGAGTCTCTTCCATCTCCCCAGAGTGTTGGCGCGGCCGAGTCTCTTCCATCTCCCCAGACTGTTGGCGCGGCCGAGTCTCTTCCATCTCCCCAGACTGTTGGCGCGGCCGAGTCTCTTCCATCTCCCCAGACTGTTGGCGCGGCCGAGTCTGTTCCATCTCCCCAGACTGTTGGCGCGGCCGAGTCTCTTCCATCTCCCCAGACTGTTGGCGCGGCCGAGTCTCTTCCATCTCCGCCGAAGGTTGAAGATTGCGGTCATCGTTCTGAAGACACAGGCGATGATATGGAGGTGATGAGTTATGATGATGATGATGATTATGATGATAATATTATGTAAAGGACTTTCAATTCCATATAATTTTTCTACTTTTGTATTTTGGCTGAAAAGGACTTCTGTTATATGATAAAAGGAAAACATTATTTAGCAACTCACCGGACCATGGAAGGTGTAGTCACGCCTGTGGGTGAACGTGTCGCGGCGTTGAAAGTGCGCGTAGAGTCTTACTGGTGATATTATGCTAATTACCGTAAGTTTTCACCTTCTGTAGCTGTATTCTTCTTTAATTATCATCTACCTCGATTTAGGAACATCATTATAATCACCCTTTGCATTATTCACACTCATATTCATAATAACCAAGAGGAGAACCAGGGTAAACACAAACATCTTGACCACGTTGGCTTCTTTTAATCGCTAATGTTTCGGTAATAATCGTTTTCCATCATCAGAGCCTAAAAATACAAAAGTTTTGAAAAGGTTTAAAAAATACAGGTGATATACAATAAAAACATAATATTATACAAAAATTTACCTTTGATAAACTTTACAAATTTAAAAAAGAGCAATCCAATACCGACAAAAATGACGAGAGACCTACATACAAAGCTAAAATCAGGAATAAAAAGTATGAAATAAAATATACAGGGGGGGTATTACCTTAATTCAGACGAGCCTTAGTGAGAAAAACACAGCAATTCACTAGAGGCCATATCACAAAGGGACGGCTTTGCTTTATACCGGTGTAATGCCTCCATAATGAGGAGGTCTGTATCACAGTCGCTCTTGCCAAGAACTGAGAAATCAGACGGCGAAAACGGGTGGTCATGTTGGTGGGCGTGGTTACGAATAGCCGAATGTGGTGGTTGTGTTATTAACTGGCCTGTTCGAACGGAACGGCCCAAGTGTTCATGGATGCGAGTTATCAAATGTCTTTAGTTTTACCTATATATGCTACCCTACAGCTAGCACACGTAAATTGATAAACAACTGAGGATTGCAGGTGTGTGGGTATGGTGTCTTTAATTTAAAAGAATTTCTTAATTGAACTCTGGGTTTTAAAGATGAGTCTAATTGAAATTTGTGGATAGAATTCATTGAAAAGCTTCTTAAGTTTATTTCTAAGGGTGAAACTGAGTGGTCCTGTGTACGGGATGGTGAGATAGATAGAATATTTAGGGACTGGATTTGAGGATATGTGGGACTAAAAAACCTATTAAGGGTTTTGCCAATATAAGTGTCTGTAATTCTCTTAGGGAAGCCATTATTAAAGAGTAGTTACTTTATGTATTTTAGTTCAATGTCCAAGTGGAAATAGCTGAACATATATTAAAGGCTCTGTTGGTAAGAGTACGTACTAGATTACGTTTGTAATTAAGAGGAATAAAAGATGAAAATTTTGTACTCAAACCCGTGAAAGTTGGTTTTCTGTATAAGGTTGTCTCGAAACTATTATGAAGACGGTGGATATTAACATCAAGGAATGGAACAATATTTTCCTTTTCCAATTCACAGGTCTGAATTAAGGTAATCCCCCCCTGTATATTTTATTTCATACTTTTTATTCCTGATTTTAGCTTTGTATGTAGGTCTCTCGTCATTTTTGTCGGTTTTGAATTGGATTGCTCTTTTTTAAATTTGTAAAGTTTATCAAAGGTAAATTTTTGTATAATATTATGTTTTTATTGTATATCACCTGTATTTTTTAAACATTTTCAAAACTTTTTTATTTTCAGGCTCTGATGATGGAAAACGATTATTACCGAAACGTTAGCGATTAAAAGAAGCCAACGTGGTCAAGATGTTTGTGTTTACCCTGGTTCTCCTCTTGGCTTTCCACGTAACAAGTCCGTTGCTGAAGTGATTCATAATAATTTTTTACCAATATGTTTTTTTTTTTTTTTATGATTTTATAAGTATTATTTGGTTTCACTTTTGCATTAGAAGTATAGATTTTACAGTACTTATTAATTTATCCTGAGACTATGTCGGCGTTAACTGTCCCACCATCGACGCTGTAAGGGTTAAATTAGTCTACAACTCGAAGACTTAGGATTGATGACTAAAATTTATGCTTTTTTTTCATGTTAATAAATATACCCCTGTACAAATAAAGATTTAAGTTTGGAAAGTATGATGATTTAACCCCTTGAGTATGATGATTTAACCCCTTGAGTATGATGATTTAACCCCTTGAGTGTGATGATTTCACCTCTTGAGTTTGATGATTTAACCCCTTGAGTATGATGATTTAACCCCTTGAGTGTGATGATTTAACCCCTTGAGTATGATGATTTAACCCCTTGAGTGTGATGATTTAACCCCTTGAGTAGGATGATTTCACCTCTTGAGTATGATGATTTAACCCCTTGAGTAGGATGACTGCATCCCTTGAGTATGATGACTTAACCCCTTGAATATGATGACTTAACCCTTTGAGTATGATGATTTAACCCCTTGAATATGATGATTTAACCCCTTGAGTATGATGATTTAACCCCTTGAGTATGATGATGTAACCCCTTGAGTATGATGATTTAGCCCCTTGAATATGATGACTTAACCCCACCTATGCAGGATTAGTGTGTTTAATCATCCTGTGAATTAAATTAGGGTGTCTAATTCACAAGTGATCTAAACTACCACATAAATACAAATAAATAAATAAACCAAACTAAATCAAATATGCCCATCTGATGTACAATTTGCTTATATAACGTAAAAAAAATACATTAATTAAAGCTTAGTTATTTACATCAATATTGTGTAAATATATTGTAGTGGATTTCTCCCCTACAAACGCTGTTTGTCGCTGAGTAGCCGACCCCACCAATTCCCCAGTGTATGCCTCGTGGTCTAGGTCAACCAGCGCCGCCATACACCACGGAGCGGGGGTCAACTACTAAGCCACGCCAACCCCCGCTATTTAAGACCTGACCTCGTGGTGACCTGTCCTCTTTCTACCTCCACCAACCAGCCAGCAACACCTCCTCCTCCTCCGCCGTTGCCCGGCGACCCTCGCTCCTCCTCCGCCTGCCTGGTGGCCCTCGCTCCCGCCGGCGAGCATGGCGACCCACAGGCTGGTCCTCCTCTGAGCACCCTCACCAACCAGCTCTCTCTACCCAACGCTTGTAACCATGCTGCCTTCCCAGCACCAAGCTGCATTGTACATCCAATACAACATGTATACAGAGAGCACATTGTGAGTTTCCTTTCTCCATCCCATCCTGAGTGTGAACCAAACATCTCATACCCCACAATATGAAGGAAAAAACCCAGAATCCTTATTGATATGTAGTTCTTATGACGTCATTTCCGGTTATGAAAGTATAACTATCCCCAGTAGATAACATATAATACTTGTGAACATCATATGGCAACACCAGAAGGATAACGTGCCTCGTATTTTTGTTTTGTTTAATTTATCTTTAAATTTCTCTCTCTCTCTCTTATGTTTACAGAGTTCCTTGAAGAAATTTAAACATAGGAATATTTTACAATTGTTTTAGTAATTTATTGATAATAAAAATAATTAATTTGTTAAATAATTGATATAATATTTATTTGTACTGAAATAATTTATACATAAATTATATATATACAGTAATTAGCAAATTATTTATATATTAAGATAATTAAAAAGTGGGCATTGGACATTATCACCACCACTATTACTACACCAGAATCATCACCACCACTATTACTACACCACCACCACCATCATCATCACCACCACACACATAACTGGACCAATCGAACGAGCACTGGAAGGTAACTGACTGCTAACTGGAAGACTGTTAGAAATACCATAACAGTTAGTTATCACCTCGGCATCTTTAACCCCTAGTAGAAACCAGTTACTTGAACAGTCTCTCCCATGGTGTTCGACAGTGCTGGAGAAGAGAGTCAGGTGTTCGCCTACACTGGCAGAGAGAGTGTGATACCTTGTCATTCGTGTGTATTTGAGTCGAAGTTGAATATTTGGAGGGAATTTTAGGTTATTTTGGGATATAGTGGAGTTATAAAGGCCAATATGATAATCCGGGAAGCAGTTCGATAAAGCCACTTTGATCTTAATTGGATTATTAGTTATAGGAACCAAGTCCACTTCATCTAATGGACCTACACTTAGAAACACCCAATCAGATCCCTTACAATGGGTCATAACGAGACACTGACCCTGTGACCTGACCTCTGTGAATGTAATCTTAGGTCCACTATGGGTCATATTTACACGTCTGATGCCCCTAGCTGGTGACCTGACCTCTTGGAACATGTCGTAATCTGGTCTCTGATTAATGTCAAGTGAAATGACGTTATCTTGAGCTGATATAAACATTGAGTAAAAGTTGAACCAATTGTTATTATCACGGAGGAATGGTGGCCAGTAGACGGTGTTTTCCCAGGCGGTGTTATTCTCACAGGGTTCAGATGAGGAGTTGAGGATGGTGTTATTTTCACAGCCAGTAATTTCAAGACAGGCTAAGGTGAGGTCATTTTCATTCACAATTTCAAAGTAGGATTTCCATAAGGATGTTCTACTCGGCTCAAATTGTAGGATAGTTGGGAGTCCTTCAGGAACCTCATGATGGTCCGTAGGGAAGAGAGGCAAACAGGATTCCCCGAGATATCCTTTCAAATGTCCTATGATCAGTATAATCCTTATTAGCTGATAGGTTAGGATAATTCTTGCATTTTCTCGTAACGATAAGACAGCCATGATAACACGTGTTCTTACCTGTTGTAAAAATGGTTAATTGAGAGAGTGGTACTATTTATAATTCTCGTTTGATATCTTAGTCTACATTAAAACATCTTAAGTTTCCCATTTGATTATTTCGACGATAGATTCTTCAATATCCCTACGTTAAAACTTCCTCCTCACTGAAGTTATCAATATACCACACAAACATAATCATAACAAATTTAACTTAACTATATTAACAATCTAGGTTAAATTGACGTTAGATTAGTATTTAACATTACTGAGTTAACTTACAAGAGTCGTATGTGTTAGGAAGATGGTTCGGTACTGATGTTATACTCCAGCTATCTGAAACCGGATGGGTCTGTGTGTGTGTGTGTGTGTGTGTGTGGGTCTGTGTGTGTGTGTGTCTGTGTGTGTGTGTGTGTACGTGAGAGGAAACGAGACATCCTCTGACACAATACACTGGATTTTTTTTATTGTACAGAACAACAGTACAGACTTATTCATAGATAAATATTGTAAGAACGTATCTGACTTAAGCTACCACACAATAATAACAATAACATCAATAATTATCACTACACAACAAAACAATTTACTCAAACACCATATAAAATAAACTTGATAAATGAATATAAATTTATCTGTCAATTTAATGAGAAGACAAATATTCAGTACGGACATTGGAGATGAATTCCTTTTAATAACCTATTTACATATCAATATAAACACATCTTGGATAATATAAGGCTATACGAGGATATATTAAAGGTTAAAGTCCTATATTATAAAGATGTATAAGCGACCAAAGGGTTTAGTAGTCTTATATCGGCTAAATATAAGAGATGCGGGAAGATTAGACAAGACTAGAATTCCCACACTTTATTTTCATATATTTTCGTTCACTACCGTATAAACACCATGTATAAATTTGTCCGATAATATTAGAAACATTAAATAAAATTCTCCTAAACTTAGCCGATTTTTCCCGCGTTTTGATATGAATTTTGATTGGCTGGTGAGGACACACGGTTGCTAATTGATGTTTTTTTTTGTTTTTTTGGATCGATATTCTTGTCAATGGTTACGTCATCATTCATTGTGGTGGGGAGTGTGACGTGTTTTCCGGGTGTTTTAATTTGTATAATACTACATTCATGTCTGGGTTAAAATTTACATATTTGTTAAGACAATCGTGAGAATTTAAATTGAGATATTGGAAAGGAGGAGATTTGCCAGTTATGTATTTTGACATTTATTATTATTATTATTATTATTATTATTATTATTATTATTATTATTATTATTATTATTATTGTTATTGTTACTATTACTATTATTATTATTAGTAGTAGTAGTAGTATTACTCGTATCACCTGAAGATTAAACACCCTAGTCTAACCTAATTTAATACTAGTTGAGGGGTTTGGTTAGGTTAGGTTTAGTACTGTGAAAGGCATTTTAGGTACACAACTGCTTCACCCAGGAAAGTGTACATGTAGTGCAGGTGGATGTGTACGTGTGTGTGTGTGTGTGTGTGCATGTTTACACAGTACCCTTATATAACACCCACATGAGCAAAGACCCACTTTTTATGTACACACGCGCACGTACACATACATGTTTACATATGAATACACACACACACACACACACACAGTCAACATCAATGTCTCAATTACTCATATAATGTGATAATTGTCTCTCTCTCACACACACACGGATATATACACACACACACACACACACACACACACACACACACACACACACACAGGGAAAATACTGCCATATACGGGTATATTTTTGTATTTGTGTTGGTAATTATCGCAAGCATTAACCTCTACTACTACTATTATTATTTTCTTTTTTTTTAAAGGCCTCCAGCCTCCCCCAATAGCCACACCTTCGCCACCATTTTATTTACCTTAATATTAAATATCCTAATACATAAGTAGCTATCCTATCTGTGTTGAGTTAGTTGAGCCGCAGATCTATGCGGCATTCAGTGACTGTTGCCTCATAGTCAATATCTGCAACAGTTGTCGGCTTTGGGGCCGATGCTCTCGTTCCCCTGAGGCAGAGGAAAGCCGACCTAAGGAGAGAGAAGGACAGTCATCCAGGCTGTAACATAACTTCTGGGCTGCTGCTTCTGTTCGGAGATCACCTCCGCGAGTCTGGCGTAGAAACATCTTGCACTTGGTCTCATCCCACCAGAGGTTGTGAACACTAGAGGAGTGAAGCTGCCTTGATCAACGTTTTGAATTCTCTCCCCATATGCCCGTCTCTTGTCGTTCTCGTTCCTTCTATGTGCAGCATCGAGAGCTGAGTTACGGCGACATGCGGCCATGGGATCAAAATCCTGATGTCGAAGAAAGCTCGCTGTCCCCGCGTCCAGAATCCTCGAGCACTGACGTCCACACAGGCTTCGTTGGATGTGTTTGAAGTCCTTTGTTGGAAATTCTCACCGTCCAGTTGAAGGAGGGTCGGTTCTACCCTGACATCACGACAGATTTCCTTCAACATATTTGCTGTGAGGTCCCTTACTTCGTCATGCCTCAAGCACAGGGAGCCCTTTCTGCACACCATGGCGTGATCGACGTCGTAGGAAGAGCCACACACGCATTGGGAGGGCAAACCCCATCGGCCGACCGTACCTTAGAGCAATGGCATCTGTAAATTCTTGTTTATTAAGACTGAAACCATTTGCCCTTATCGGTAACGTAGTTAACCAGTTCGAGGCGCCCACCTCCTGCGCTATAGCAACTTTTTTTCTTCAAATTCTCTGGTACTTGCAGCAATAGTTGCTGCAACTTATCACTTCGGCCGTGCTGTCGTAATGGACCGTCGAATCTTGTTTACTTCACTGGTATCCACCTCTCCCGTTGAGACTACTACTCCTACTATTACTACTCCTACTACTACTACTACTACTACTACTACTACTACTACTACTACTACTACTACTTTTTTATAATAATGGCCTCCAGCTCCAATAGCCACACCTTCGTCGCCATTTTATTACCTTAAAATTAACTATCCGAATACTACTACTACTACTACACACTACTACTAATACTACTACTACTACTACACACTACTACTACTACTACTACTACTACTACCACACACTACTACTACTACCACTACACAACACCACAAACCATAACTACCACCACCACTTCAACTACCACCACCATTACCATTACTACCTGTATCAGTTTGAAAAATGGGATTCATGAGATAGTGGTTAACGTATTGTGGTGGTTGTATAAGGATGGTGGTAGTGGCAGCAATGGTGGTAGATTTAGTCAACGCCACCACAGGCATTTAGTATCGTCTGGCGTTCCTCAAACTCTCAATAATGATCCTTGTGTGTTTCGCCAGGCAGATCTACGCTTGTCTTCTCTTCTAGTCATAATTTTATGAGGACTTCGCCTGACGAACGATCGCCAGGCTTATGGGAACTGTGTGTGTGTGTGTGTGTGTGTGTGCCCACCAGCATCCACCTGACTTAATATTGAAACACCTGCTGTGACTCCATTCCAGGAACACCTAACTGCATCCCCCCGCTAATAACCCCCCAAATCAGCATTATTTCACCCATAAAATAAGATTTATTGATATAATAAAGGTGTTTAAGCTTTATTTATTAGTATTTAAACGTTTAAAATTGGCGGGAAAATTTGTAAACATTGGGGGAAACGGAGTCATTGTCCTATTGGTCTATCGGTTGTGTTCGGGTTGACTCGGGTTGCCTGACTCGGGTGAACTCGGTTGAACTCGGATTGTTGATATCGGGGATGCCGGTGCCAGGTAAGATACGGGGTATATATATAGACCCTGGTGAGGCCTCCTGACTTCAGATCACCTTAGAGAGCTGACGAGTCAACACCTCCCTAGTGACTGATTAACACCTTCGCTGTAACCCCAATTAACCTGTCTGTTTGACCTCTCATACTAAGGTAAGTCATAAAAACAACATAAAAAACAGGAAAAACAGAAGATAGATAAACAAACAAGCAAAAATAGACCTAAATTTCAATATATATAGTGTGTGTGTGTGTGTGTGTGTGTGTGTGTGTGTGTGTGTGTGTGTTTTATTTACAAACACAGGTACAGACACAGGTATAAAAGATTAGGTTAGGTTAAATTAGGTTAAACTAGATTAGATTAGATGTGTTTGGATTAGGTTAAGTTAGAGTAGGGTTAAGTTAATCCAAACCATTTTAAGTGTAGTTATTGCACACATAAGGTACATTGACTTGTGTGTGTGTGTGTGTCTGTGTGTGTGTGTGTGTGTGTGTGTGTGTGTGTCTGTGTCTGTGTGTGTGTGCGTGTGTGTCTGTGTCTGTGTATGTGTGCGTGTGTGTGTGCGTGTGTGCATGAGGGCGCCTTTACATAACGGTAATCCTAACCTTATTCATCTCAAATTATAGGTAACCTAACCTAACCTAACCTAACCAAATGACCCTTCTCTCTACAGATGCTACGGTGGGCGTGTATGGGCGTGATGGTAGTGGTGTGTTCAGCCGCCCCAACAAGGGCTTCTGTTCCGTTAATGGAAGGGGTATTAGCAGAGCCACAATTTGACCCTGATTTAAGTAATTTAGCAATGGGTAATCCGGACACAGTGAGTGTGGTAAATTAATTCATCCGTGTTGAATTATGTGTGTGTGTGTGTTGTGTGTGTGTGTGTGTGAGTGTGTGTGTGTGTGTGTGTGTTAAATGTGTGAGTGTGTGTGTGTGTGTGTGTGTGTGTGTGTGTGTGTGTGTGTGGGAGTGTGTTAAATTAATGTGGAGTGTGTGTGTGTGTGTGTGTGTGTGTGTGTGTGTGTGTGTGTGTGTGTGTGTGGAGTGTAGAATTAATGTGTGAGTGTGTGTGAGGTGTGTGTGTGTGTGTGTGTGTGTGTGTGTGTGTGAGTGTGTTAAATTAATGTGTGTGAGTGTGTGTGTGTGGAGTGTGTGAGTGTGTGTGTAAGTAAATTATTCTCTCAGGAAGCATATTAATTAATCTGGTGTAAATTCAGTGAACTCAGTCAATTTACACCACTCAGTCAATTTACACCACTCAGTCATTACACCACTCAGTCTTACACCACTCAGTCAATTACACCACTCAGTCAATTTACACCACTCAGTCAACTTACACCACTCAGTCAATTTACACCACTCAGTCAATTTCACCACTCAGTCAATTTACACCACTCAGTCAATTTACACCACTCAGTCAATTTACACCACTCAGTCAATTTACACCCTCAGTCAATTTCACCCCAATCAATTTACACCCTCACTCAACTTACACCACTCAGTCAATTAACACCACTCAGTCAATTTACACCACTCAGTCAACTTACACCACTCAGTCAATTTACACCCACTCAGTCAATTTACACCACTCAGTCAATTTACACCACTCAGTCAATTTACACCACTCAGTCAATTTACACCACTCAGTCAATTTGCCCCACTCAGTCAACTCAGTCAACTGTTTGTTTGCAGATGGAGACTGACATTCCAGGAGAACCTTTAAGCCCAGAGGATTTCAGACAAGGAAAAGAAATGGGTAAGTGAGTGAGAGAGAGAGAGAGGGAGGATGAGTTGGGGGTGAGGAGAGATTGAATGGTAGTTTAAGTGAAACCTAACCTAACCAAATCTAGCAAAACTAGCCAAAACTAACCAAATCTAGCAAAGCAACCTAAACCTGGCAAACCTGCAACCAACCAGACCAATCTGGCCAAATCTGCAACCACAACCAATCTAACCCACCAAATCTAGCAAAACCCAACAAAACTAACCAAATCTGACAAAACCTAACCAAACCTAACAAACCAACCAAAACTCAAACCCTAACAAATCTAGCCAACCTAACCAACCCTGAACCAAAACCCAACCAAACCTAACAAAAACTAACCAAACCTAGCAAACCTAACCAAGTCCTGACCAAGCCAACCAAACCTGACCAAAACCTAGCCAAAACCTAACCAAAAACTAACCAAAAACTAACCAAATCTAACCAAACCTAACAAAACCTAGCTTAAAAACAACCAAAAACCCAACAAAACTAACCAAATCTAACCAAAAACTAACCAAACCTAGCAAAACTAACCAAAAACTAACCAAAACTAACCAAAACCAGCAAAACCTAACCAAATCTACCAAATCTAGCAAAACTAACAAAACCTAACCCAAACTAACCAAATCTAACCAAATCTAGCAAAACCTATACAAAAACCTAACCAAAAACCTACCAAAACCTACTCCCACAGTGCACAAGGACTGGGACCCAACAAGCAATGCTGACCCTATCGAACTGGCCGGGTTATTCCAAGGAGATATCAACATTTTAGCCATGGATGAGATTCAAAATATGCCAATGGTAAGTAGGTTAGGATACGTTAGATTTAGGTTAGATTTAGGTTAGATAGGTTGAATTTGGGATTAGATTAGGTTAGATTAGGTTAGATTTGGGATTGGGTTAGGTTAGATTTGGGTTGGATTTAGGTTAGATGAGTTAGATTATGTTAGATTTGGGTTAGATTGAGTTAGATGGAGTTAGATTTATGTTAGATTAGGTTAGATTAGGTTAGATTTGGGATAGATTATGTTAGATTGGGTTAGATTATGTTAGATAGGTTAGATTGAGTTAGATTTGGGTTAGATGGGATTAGATTTAGGATTAGATTCGGTTAATTTAGGTTAGATGAGGTTAGATTAGGTTAGATTTAGGTTAGATTATGTTAGATTAGGTTAGATTAGGTTAGAGTGAATTTAAATGTCTTTACCACTAATATTGATTCCCCCCCCCCCCCTCTCTCTCTCTCTCTCTCTCTCTCTCTCTCTCTCTCTCTCTCTCTCTCTCTCTCTCTCTCTCTCTCTCTCTCTCTCTCTCTCTCTCTCTCTCTCTCTCCCCTCCCCTCTCCCTCTCTCTCTCTCTCACACACAGAGTAACGCACCTCAAGCCAGGAACGCCATTTTAGACATGTCAAGAAGATGGCCTAATGGCGTCATACCCTACGTCATATCTTCATCATACAGTAAGTCAAGGAGAACCAGTTAATTTATCTATTGTATATTGTATTAAAAACTTAAATACCCATAAAATATAACAATTACCTTGCATTATACACCAAGCGGCTAGTTTATTGTGCACCCTGTAGTCATTGTGTAATCTACATAAAAAAATGACCACAAAAATATTTCAGTATAATTTGTATTTTTGAAGTATTTATGAATTCTTATCACTATTACTACTACTACTATTACTACTACTACTACTATTATTACTACTACTATTACTACTACTACTATTACTACTACTACTACTATTTGACAGATAAAAAAGAGAGAGGTACTATTGCCATGGCTGTTAGCAAGTACCACACCTTAACTTGTATTCGTTTCGTCCCAAGAACTGTGGAGAGAGATTACATACACATTATTAAAGGACGGTGAGTACTATTACTACTACTACTACTACTATTACTACTACTATTACTATTACTACTACTACTACTTCTTATTATTACTACTACTACTACTACTACTACTACTATTACTACTACTACTACTATTACTATTACCACTACTACTATTACTATTACTACTACTACTATTACTACTACTACTACTACTATGATTCTTAAGTATATTTCTTCATATTTCTTGAGTAAATTTAAGTGAAATAATTAAATTCTCGTTTAGTGTAAATTGTAAATACAATGACTTAAACTATGCTAACCAAACCTAACCAAAACCCAACCAAAACCCAACCAAAACCCAACCAAAACCTAACCAAAACCTAACCAAACCTAACTTTAACAGGTGTTCAAGCCCAGTAGGCAAACACGTTGGTGCCCAGGCTGTTTCCCTTGGCCCTGGTTGTCTGTACGTGGGTATTGTGATGCACGAATTTATGCACGCCGCTGGCTTCTGGCACGAACAATCACGTCCAGATCGTGATAATTACATAACAATTAACGAAATGAACATTCAGACAGGCATGCAGTACAACTTTGAAAAATATTCATGGGATAAAATACAAAGTTTGAAAGTAGACTATGATCTTGGTGAGTATTTAAGTAGTTTCGAGTTACTTTACAAACTTTTTAGTACACTGTAAAGTAGTTTGAGGTTAATTTATAAAGTTTATGCATATATATGTATATATGAACAGTATGGATGTATGTATGAATGAATCTATCCATCTAATGTCTATCTGTCTGTATGAATGAATCTATCCATCTAATGTCTATCTGCCTGTATGAATGAATCTATCCATCTAATGTCTATCTGTCTGTATGTATGAATCTATCCATCTAATGTCTATCTGTATGTATGAATCTATCCATCTAATGTCTATCTGTCTGTATGAATGAATCTATCCATCTAATGTCTATCTGTCTGTATGAATGAATCTATCCATCTAATGTCTATCTGTCTGTATGTATGAATCCATCTATCTATCCATCTCTCTATCCAGGTTCCATTATGCACTATGGCCCGTACGCCTTCGCTAAAGACCGAACGAAACCAACAATTATACCGAGGAAAACTGGAGCTGAAATTGGTCAACGAAGAGCATTTTCTGATGTGAGTTTCTCTATCTCACTTTCTCTCTCTCTATCTCACTTTCTCTCTCTCTATCTCACTTTCTCTCTATCTCACTTTCTCTATCTCACTTTCTCTATCTCATTTTTCTCTCTCTCTCTCATCTCACTTTTCTCTATCTCACTTTCTCTCTCTATCTCACTTCTCTCTCTATCTCACTTTCTCTATCTCACTTTCTCTCTCTATCTCACTTTCTCTCTCTCTATCTCACTTTCTCTCTCTATCTCACTTCTCTCTCTCTCTATCTCACTTTCTCTCTCTCTATCTCACTCTCTCTCTCTATCTCACTTTCTCTCTCTATCTCACTTTCTCTCTCTCTATCTCACTTTCTCTCTCTCTCTATCTCACTTTCTCTCTCTCTCTATCTCACTTTCATTCGTTATCTCTCAATTTAGGAGGCTTTAATGTGAGATATCTTTTGGCCAATCAGAAAATTGTAAATAATTGCATTACAAATATCGACCAATCAGAAAATTATATAAAAATCACCCCAAAAAACTATTAACCAATCAGAATATTATGAATAATTACACCAAAAAAATATCAACCAATCAGAAAATTCAATTAAAAATCTCCACCAATCAAAAAAAAAATCAATTAAAAATCTCAACCAATTAAAAATTCCCCATAAATACAGTAATTACATAACTGTACCCATTACACCATTACAGAAGGACATATTAAAGATACAAAAACTCTATAACTGCGCCAATACAACAGGTGTAAGCGTGGTAACTGAGAGGCCAATTACACGCCCACAGCCAGGTAAGGTGTTAATGTTGTTTACAGAGGTGTGTTAATGTTAATTGTTTACATACAGGTGTTAATGTTGTTTACAGAGGTGTGTTAATGTTAATTGTTTACATACAGATGTTAATGTTGTTTACAGAGACGTGTGCAGACAATAACAAGTACTGCGACACCTGGGAGAAGATTGGCGAGTGCAAGAAGAACCCAACCTGGATGCATGTAAACTGTAAAAAATCTTGTAGACAATGTGGTGAGTAAATGGGCCTTTTGTAGACAATTTTGTGAGTTTTCTGAGGATTTGTAGACAATTTTGTGAGTTTTCTGAGGATTTGTAGACAATTTTGTGAGTTTTCTGAGGATTTGTAGACAATTTTGTGAGTTTTCTGAGGATTTGTAGACAATTTTGTGAGTTTTCTGAGGATTTGTAGACAATTTTGTGAGTTTTCTGAGGATTTGTAGACAATTTTGTGAGTTTGAGGATTGTAGACAATTTGTGAGTTTTTGAGGATTTGTAGACAATTTTGTGAGTTTCTGGTTGAATTTGAGTTTCTGAGGATTTGTAGACAATTTTGTGAGTTTTCTGAGTTTGTAGACATTTTGTGAGTTTTCTGAGGATTAGACAATTTAAGTTTGAATTAGAAACTTTGTTTTCGAGGATTTGTAGACAATTTTGTGAGTTTTCTGAGGATTTGTAGACAATTTGGTGAGTTTTCTGAGGATTTATACAATTTGTGAGTTTTCTGAGGATTTGTAGACAATTTGTGAGTTTTTGAGGATTTGTAGACATTTGTGAGTTTCTGAGGATTTAGAAATTTTGAGAGATTTAGACAATTTTGTGAGTTTTCTGAGGATTTGTAGACAATTTTGTGAGTTTTCTGAGGATTTGTAGACAATTTTGTGAGTTTTTTTGGCCTTTTGTAAAGAATTTAGTGAGTTAACCTAACTTAATACTACCCTAACCTATCCTAACCTACATTACTATTCCAGGTGTTGAATGCTCAGACAATAGTGAACACTGCAAGTATTGGGCAAAAAATGGCGAGTGTGCACAAAATCCAAGTTACATGAGTCGTTTTTGTAAGAAATCTTGTGGAGTTTGTCACGCTTCTGGTAAGTGGATAAGTGGATAGATGGATGGGTAAGTGGGTGGATGGATGGGTGGGTAAGTGGGTGGATGGGTGGGTAAATGGGTGGATGGATGGATGGGTGGGTAAGTGGATTGAAATTGAATGATGTTATAAAAAATTAAAGTCGATTTTGTACGTAGTTGTAGTAGTAGTAGTAGTAGTAGTAGTAGTAGTAGTAGTAGTAGTAGTAGTAGTAGTAGTAGTAGTAGTAGTAGTAGTAGTAGTAGTAGTAGTAGTAGTAGTAGTAGTAGTAGTAGTAGTAGTAAAAATTATAAAATTACTACTACTACTACTACTACTACTACTACTACTACTACTACCCTCACTAAAATCAATTAAAAACACAAACGAACACATTAACACCTTCGTTCGTTTCCTCGACAGCCGACTTCATTTCCGACGAATGCAGAGACCACAACACCCACTGTAAAGAATGGGGCAAGAAACTACAGTGTCGAGCAAATCCAAATTACATGCTAATTTGGTGCCGTAAAACATGTGGACACTGCCAATAGGACCATATGGCACCGTATGGCACCGTATGGCACTGGTATGGCACTGGTATGGCACTGGTATGGCACCTCCCCAGCGATGTATGGCACAGCAACATTATATTTTATTGTTTTGATTAAGCTAGTTTCCCGCGCTTTTTTTTGTGGTCAAGCGATGTGATTTTGTTTGTTTTCCCGCGTTTTTTTTTTTGAGGGGGATGAAGTGATTTAGACGATTAGTTATTTAGGTGAGAATAACTTATACGTGATTGGATAGACAGAGAGACAGACAATCGGGTAGACAGAGACAGAGCGACAGACAGACAGACAGACAGACAATCGGGTAGACATTCAGATAGATAGGAAAATAGACAGACAGACAGATGGACAGATATTTACATAGACAAGATGCATTCAGTCAGAGAAAGACAGACAGACAGACAGACAGATAGACAGACAGATAGACAGACAGACAGACTCCAGTGTGTGATATATATTAATGTATGTTAATAAAGAATTGCAATTGATTTGTTGTTTAATTAAAAAAATATATAAATTAAAAAAATATTTATACCTGTAACTTGAATATTTGTTTAAATGGACCCCAGTTATAATAGGCCCCAGGTTCTATTAGGCCCCAGGTTCTACTAGGCCCCAGGTTCTACTAGGCCCCAGGTTCTACTAGGCCCCAGTGCTTCTCTCTCTCTCTCTCTCTCGTGGGAACAAAACAGCCCCGCCACTTGACTCTCGGCCACACATATTGAACCACCATCATTTCTGACATTGACAAAATTAAATCACTATGTAATCATAAAACATCCCATCGATGACTCTTTTAACTACCCGGATCATCAAGCAATTAATCCGGGGCTTAAGAGGAAGGGTGGATTTATTATTTAATCCTACCCCTAAAGGATTAAATCAACGGGGGGATTTAAAACATTAGAACATATGGTATCAATTTACTATGACGTAGTGATGAAAAAAGAAAACGTAGATAATGGAAAATTTTGCAGGGTAACTATCCTATATTTACCTCTCCAACAATTTACATATTTAATGACTTTATATCAACTAACCTACATAACTACCATCAATAACTAAGTCTTATATGATAAATAAAATCACAAACTAAAATTCTAAAGTAATATTGATAAGTTTGAGGGATGATTTAAGGGTAAAATATTGGAAATTATACGTCGCAACATCTATGTGAGTTCCCCCCTCTACCCTGGCAGCCATGATTAGGGTGGCGGTGGATTAGTGGCCAGTCTACTCATTGTTCATTTTAACCCAGCAATCATCTTTCACACCGGATTAACTTCTCGTTGTGACAAGTGAGCGAGGTATTTAATTCTCTCTCTCTCTCTCACCATCTGCCAAGCACCACAGGATAGTGCCGCGTCACCATCACCATAAATCACTATAACACACATACGGATGAGAGAGAGAGAGGAAGAGAGAGAGAGAGAGAGAAAAGACCAGAAACATACAGATAAACAAATAAAACAGAGTCAGAAGGATAGAAATGAAAGAAACACAACACGACCCGGAAGCAGCCTCAAGTGAACCCGTATATATATATATCAATCTCGCCCCCAAAACCTTATAAGAGATATACATTAAAATTACCTGAAATTGGAACTTGTTTTGTTGGTATTTACAATAATAATAATAATAATAATAATAATAATAATAATAATATTTAATGTTTACCTAAGAAATTTAAATCACATTAACACCACCATAAAATGCGACCTCACATTTTCCCTCATTTCATGGAGATTAAGACATTTGCTGGATTTATTTTAATATATATACATTATAGGAAGTTTATATAGTATATGAGGTAATGTTAGTCCTAAAATAAGGGTAAAAAGGAGATATTTTGAGGAATATATTCAAGACTACTCACGTTAACTGAACCCAATGGCGCGGGAGATTGTGGCGGGAAAGTGAGGAAGTCATCAGAGAAACTATATATATTATCATTATTATTCTCATTTATTAAATAATTTGATGTACTTAATAATTTTATTATATTTATTGTTGTTTGATGTATATTTAATTATTTTTAAGGTATATTTGATTTTGTTTAGTACTTGTTATGGTTTGACGATAAATGTAAATAGTTAATGTACAAATTAAATAAATTGTTTATATATGTGATTATTTAGCAAAAAAGTAAAGATTTAGAATAAATAAATATTTTCTTATTATTTTATATATATTTATATAATATTTATACGATAAATATTTGTAATAAATATTAATTAATTTGTGTCTTAGCATTTCATGCAAATAACACTACAGTAAGTATTAGTTATTGAGAAATTATCAAGGCTTTGGTGAATTATTTTCTACAAAATCTTAGCATATTAATATCTAATTAAAAATTATATTTTAATTTAAAATGCTCTTATTTTCAGTAATTAATTTAGTTTTATTTAATTTTAAACTTATGATAAATATTTTATTCTTGCCGGAACTATTATTTTAAACCTCAACTACACAGTTCAAATACGAACCAAATTTACAAGTACGAAAATTATCTAAAAATTTATTATTTCATTGTAATTAATCAATTATTGGAATACAAAATAATTAATAATTCTTTCATCAACAACTATCAAGATTTATATTAAACGATACAAATTTAAAAAAAGAATATATACATTAATTTGATCTTTTTTTTTCTTAGTGACGTCACAAAGTCTTAGTTAAGGTCAGGTGTAAATCGTCTCAGTTTTTTGGATTATTTACTCAATTAACAAGTGATAATATATACCAGATCTTAAAAAATTAATCCATAATAAACTAACAGAGTGAAAGCTATCGAAAAAGACACAAATATAAACGAATTAAGGGCGAAAAACTGAAAATAAACTCCCTCCATCTTACTACACACCTGGTAAGTCTTCTAGAAATATGTATGAACGTGTGTATGTATGTATGCATGTATGTATGTATGTATGAACGTATGTATGTATGTACAACCAAAACACACCCTATCACAACATATGTCAGTTATAAAAACCAATATATGTAATCATACCCCTCCTATAATCACTTCATTACCTTATGGTCTGTATGTGTGTGTGTGTGTGTGTGTGTGTAGGTGTGTGTGTGTGTGTGTGTGTGTGTGTGTGTGTGTGTGTGTGTCTGTCTGTGTGTGTGGGTGTGTGTGTGTGTGTGTGTGTGTGTGTGTGTGTGTGTGGGTGTGTGTGTCTGTCTGTGTGGGTGTGTGTGTGGGTGTGTGTGTGTGTGTGTGTGTGTCTGTGTGTCTGTCTGTCTGTGTGTGTGTGTGTGTGTGTGTGTGTGTGTGTCTGTCTGTGTGTGTGTGTGTGTCTGTGTGTGTGTGTGTGTGTGTGTCTGTGTGTCTGTGTGTGTCATCTGTCTGTCTGTCTGTGTGTGTGTGTGTGTGTGTGTGTGTGTGTGTGTGTCTGTCTGTGTGTGTGTGTCTGTCTCTAATCTATGCAACCATATATACACAACCTAACCCCTAACCTAACTAAACCTAACCTAACCTAACCTAACCTAAACCCTAACCTAACCTAACCTAACCTAACCTAACCTAACCTAACCCCTCAACTAAACGCCATATTAAATATTCTACAGTTAAACCATTTTAAAATATACTGCTCGAGATGACCCCTGAAAGCCACAAAGGGGAGGCTGGTTACCCCCTACCTAGCTACACAAGGGAGGCGAGGGTGGGTAAGGGTGGAGTGAGGTGGGTAAGGGGGCTGGTGGGAGGAGGAGGTAAAGCACGTGGCAGGTGAATTGACAAGATGAAAAAACCTGATTGAAAAATAAATTGATTTAAGATGATAGTTTAAAGGGAATTATTTCTACGAGAGACACAAGATGGATTCTCAATATCCTTCCTATACGTTTATTTGTTTATTCCTGACTACTTCTAACCTAATACACCCTTATATTTTCCCCTCATATCGACGTAAATATAAGAGTAAGTATCAGGAAGTTAATATAGAAGGTTAGTTATATATAGGAGAGAAAAATCAGTGTTTTCATATAACCCTGTTTTCTATGGATGGGAGATAGATGGCTAGTGGCTAGATAGATGGCTAGTGGCTAGATAGATGGTTAGTGGCTAGATAGATGGCCAGTGGCTAGATAGATGGCTAGTGGCTAGATAGATGGCTAGTCTGATAGATGGCCAGTGGCTAGATAGATGGCTAGTGGCTAGATAGATGGCTAGTGGCTAGATAGATGGCTAGTGGCTAGATAGATGGCCAGTATGGATAGATGGCTAGTGGCTAGATAGATGGCCAGTGGCTAGATAGATGGCTAGTGGCTAGATAGATGGCCAGTGGCTAGATAGATGGCTAGTGTGAAGTAGATGGCTAGTGGCTAGATAGATGGTCAGTGGCTGAATAGATGGCTGAGTGGCTAGATAGATGGCTAGTGGCTAGATAGATGGCTGGTGGCTAGATTAGATGGTGGCTAGATAGATGGCCAGTGGCTGGATAGATGGCTAGTGGCTGAATAGATGGCCAGTGGCTAGATGTGGAGTGGCTAGTGGCTGAATAGATGATCCAGTGGCTAGACAGATGGCTGGTGGCTAGATAGATGGCCAGTGGCTAGAATGGATGGCTGGTGGCTAGATAGATGGTCAGTGGCTAGTGAATGGCCAGTGGCTATAGATGGCCAGTGGCTGTAGATGGAGTGGTCAGTGGCTAGATAGTGGCCAGTGTGGCTATAGATGGCTAGTGGCTAGATAGATGGCTAGTGGCTAGATAGATGGTCAGTGGCTAGATAGATGGCCAGTGGCTAGATAGATGGCTAGTGGCTAGATAGATGGCCAGTGGCTGAATAGATGGCCAGTGGCTGAAATAGATGGCCAGTGGCTGGAAGATAGATGGCCAGTGGCTGGAATAGATGACCAGTGGCTAAATAGATGGCCAGTGGCTAGATAGATGGCCAGTGGCTAGATAGGAGATGGCTAGTATTGGCTAGATAGATGGTCAGTGGCTAGATGGATGGTCAGGCGGCTAGATAGATGGCTCTGTGAGTGGCTGGGATGGTGTGGCTAGATAGATGGCTGGTGGATAGATGGCTAGTGGCTGAATAGATGGTCAGTGGCTAGATAGATGGCTAGTGGCTAGATAGATGGCTGGTGGCTGAATGTAGATGGCTAGTGGCTAGATAGATGGTCAGTGGCTGAATTAGATGGCCAGTGGCTAGATAGTGGCTAGTGGCTGAAATAGATGGCTAGTGGCTAGATAGATGGCCAGTGGCTAAATAGATGGTCAGTGGCTGAATGGCCAGTGGCTAGATAGGCTGAGTGGCTAGAATGAATGGTCAGTGGCTAGATAGATGGCCAGTGGCTGAATGAATGGCTAGTGGCTAGATAGATGGCTGAGTGGCTAGATAGATGGTCAGTGGCTAGATAGATGGCCAGTGGCTGGAATGGGCATAGTGGCTAGATAGATGGCCAGTGGCTGGGATGATGGCCAGTGGCTGAATAGATGGCCAGTGGCTGAATATAGATGGTCAGTGGCTAGATAGATGGCCAATGGCTGAATAGATGGCTAGTGGCTAGATAGATGGCTATATAGATAGATCATTAACACAGGGTAATAATAACCATCTCATTATACAATATTTATCTCATATAATATAAATAAACACAGAGACAAAATAATTAACACCTAAAACATCAATTAAACACAACATCTAACATCAATACTGAACATAATTCTATCATAACATCACTAAACATCGACATTGAAACATAAATATTATACAGGAAATGTTTATATTAATACAACAATTGATGCTCGAATGTTAAGTATTGCTGTAGTGTTTATTTAATACATAGATCATGGTCAAATAGATGGGGTCTATTAGAACTAGGGCCTATTAGAACTAGGCCCCATCTGACCAACAAACAGATACACTTATAGTTGAAATGCACTTAAGGGGATCATAAGTGTTGGTGTGTGTGTGTGTGTGTGTGTGTGTGTGTGTGTGTGTGTGTGTGTGTGTCCTACTCAAGTAATTATATAAGTAATATAAGTGTTAAGTGCATATTATAGCATACTTAATTCACTTATAATCCATACCTGTACTTTTAAACCTGTTAGTTACGTTATACTAATGGTAACATGTTACTTAACTACTTTAAAAATACTTTACAGGTATTTTCAACACCTGCCAACAACGGGGAAGATTCTACAGGTATTTTCAACACCTGGGAAGATTCTGCAGGTATTTTCAACACCTGGGAAGATTCTACAGGTATTTTCAACACCTGCCAACACCTGGGAAGATTCTGGGATTTTCAACACCCAACACCTGGGGAAGATTCTACAGGGATTTTCAACACCTGCCAACACCTGGGGAAGATTCTACAGGGATTTTCAACCTGCCAACACCTGGGGAAGATTCTACAGGGATTTTCAACACCTGCCAACACCTGGGAGATTCTACAGGCATTTCCAACACCTGCCAACACCTCGGGAAGATTCTACAGGTATTTCCAACACCTGCCAACACCTGGGGAAGATTCTACAGGTATTTCCCTGCCAACACCTGGGGAAGATTCTACAGGTATTTCCAACACCTGCCAACACAGTGCCATCATTTCTTATACCTGTAGAAGTAGAACCAAAACCAAATTATTTATATTTTCAAATTATTAAATATTTATTCTGTACCTTCTTTACCGTCGATGAAATTATTAGGTTAAGTCTTGACACAACTACCACAATTACCTACCACAATTAACACAACTAACTACCACAACTACCTACCAACCCCCCCTTACCTCAGTTGGTTGGACGAACTGATTGGCCAGAATAAAGGCGACGTTGCTAAGTTCCACCTTCTCCGTCTCTGTTTCCAGGGTTCGATCCCAGTAAGAATCCTGTACCGAGTTGGCTGCTCGTTAGGACTGGCGTCTGCTAACAAGTACGACATCTGATGGTGGGAAAGAGGTGATTAGGTTAATATGTCTGTCTGTCTGTCTTCTGTGTGTCTGTGTGTCTGTCTGTCTGTCTGTCTGTCTGTCTGTCTGTCTGTCTGTCTGTCTGTGGGTCTGTCTGTCTGTCTGTCTGTCTGTCTGTCTGTCTGTCTGTTTGTCTGTCTGTGTAGTGACTCTCTCTCTCTCTCTCTCTCTTTTCTCTTCTCTCTCTCTCTCTCTCTCTCGCTCTCTCTCTCTCTGACTGTCTATATACAAGAAAACAAACACACACTCCCTGACTTTCCCTCTCCTTCAAAAACCCTCCTCAATCCTCTCTCTCTTCCCTCTTACACCCCCACTCACCCCCTCTCACCTCTAAATGTCTCTTCACCAAAGGTACAAACTCAAAGTCATGGTCATCTTCTCCAAATGGATTGATGAGGGACTCTGCCACTTTTAACCAGCCGATATAAAAGAAGAATTGTAATAGAGTGAAGATTGGCACGTAGAGATCGATGAGGTTGTTGGGTAGTTTCTGTCCAGGGTCGAGAAACTGCTCCCCAACGACGCTGAAGAGGAAGAATGTATACACTGCGATCGTCACTACCTGTTGAAAATGGGAGAGTTTGGTTAGGTTGGGTTCGGGTTCGGGTTTGGTGTTGGGTTCCGGGTTCGGTGTTGGTGTTGGGTTCGGGTTCGGGTTTGGTGTTGGGTTCGGGTTTTGGTGTCGTTTTGGGTTCGGGTTCGGGTTTGGTGTTGGGTTCGGTGTTGGTGTCGTTTGTTGGTTTATAGGTATTAACTGTAATGATGGTAATATTGATGATAATAGTATTGGCAATCCCACACACACACACACTTCTCCACACCTCCACACCACTCCAGACTAATCCAGACCCCTCCACACCCCACCACACACCACACACACCTAACTCACCTGTGTATACACTAAAGGTATATTATATATCACCCAAGAAGTTCACCACAATAACCACGGACTTTAATGATCTCATCCGTGACGGTCTTCTGGGCAATATCATCCCTTATCTTGCCCTCACGTCTTGCCCTATCCACGATCTTACATGCCCACAAGAAGGGGACGTAGGTTTTGTGTTCCTTGGTCTTGTGGTCGAGGGATTCTAGTATTGCCTTCTCGTTATCAGTAAGGTAACCTGGTAGAAGAGAATGGGTGGGGAAAAAACATGTGAGAATTGGGTTGATTTTTGGTTATTTTGGGTAGTATTTTGAGGTTGATTTGCATTGATTTTGGTGAATTTTGGTTGATTATGATTAATTTTCGGTTGATTTGCATTGATTTTGGTGAATTTTGGTTGATTTTGATTAATTTTCGGTTGATTTGCATTGATTTTGGTGAATTTTGGTTGATTTTGGATTGATTGGGATAAATTGGGTTAATCTTTGTTGATTTGTGGTATCTAGTGTGACCTAACATGACCCAACATTGACCCCAGCTAACCTAGAATGACCTAAGACACCCCAGATTGACTTAAATTACCCAAAAATGACCTAAATTACCCCAGAATGACCTAACATGACCTAAAACACCCCATAATCACTTAAATTACCCCAAAATGACCTAAATAGCCCCCAGAAATGACCTAACATGACCTAGCATTGACCTCAGATGACCTACCAGCATCCACCATCTGCTCTAGACCTGGGAAGTTCTTCTTGACCCCTGGAGCGATCATTGAGAAAGTCATCACAATGGCCAGGTTCACATACCTAACAACTGTGCACCTCATCATTCTAGCTCTTGCGTCCTGAGAGAGAGAGGAGAGAGGAGAGAGAGAGAGAGAGAGAGAGAGAAAGAATGATATTATTTAGGGATATATCAATCATCCATTTATCTATATATTAACTCCATATAAACCACTAATAATAATAAAAAATTATAACCAGGTAAACAAACACACAGGTAAACAAACACACAGGCAGACAGACAGACAGACAGACAGACAGACAGACAGAGACAGACACAGGCAGACAGAAGACAGACAGCAGACACAACACGCGACAGAAACAACAGACAGGCAGACAGACAGACAGACAGACAGACAGACAGACAGGCAGACAAGACAGACAGACAGACGAGCAGACAAGCAGACAGGCAGACAGACTTACCGTGCCCTGAATGATCGCTAAGTATATACACAGGGTATCGGGCCAGGGTATGCTGAGGTACATACCCCACCATCTACTGACTATTAATGAGACGTAGAAACCTAGGACAAATGATATGGGTATGAGGTTCCGGAAGAGACTGCAGTGGACTGACACCTTCTCGAAGATTCTGTTGAGAGGAAGAGAGTTTGAATTGGGGTGGGTGGGAGGAGGGTGTGTGGGTGTGTGGGTGTGCGTAGGCGGGAGGAAAAGAGGTTAGATTAGGTTAGTGTTGCGTATGTATGTACAAATTCCAAACATCCATACATTAATTAAATTACCCAGACACAATTAAAACCACCCAAACACGTTTATAAATCACTATATCATCTATATATATATAAACTACAAAATAAAATAGGTTCGTACCTTCTCTGATCCTCAGTTAAACCAAAACGATAGAGGCACGACAAGGAGGCGTACAGGATGACATACACCAGTAAGTCCTGCCAGACCATCTTGTAAACACTGCCACGCCATCTGTGAACGCGGGAAAGAAGTAAGTTTGTTGTGATGATGTAGGAGTATTATTGTTATTATTATTATTTCTATACTACTACTACTACTACTACTACTACTACTACTACTACTACTACTACTACTACTACTACTACTACTACTACTACTACTACTACTACAACAGCCACAGTTATCATAAAGAATAACAATACCAAACACAAGAATGAACAGATTGAATATTAACTTAGAACTAATTTCATCAATCCTTTTAAACTGAAGAATGATTACTAATGAATGATGTCACTTAGAATGATGTAACACCTTAGAATGATATCAAATGTTAGAAATATCTCAGTTGTTATCAGTTAAGAATGTTACCTTAGGTAGGATCATTCTTCATCATGCAAGGTGTAGAATGATGGGATGCTATCATTCTTATCCATGCCAGGAATACCCTTATCAGTTAAGAATGATATCACACTTAAGTAGGGTCATTCTTCGTAATGCAGAGTCCAGAATGAAAGTCAGAACCAGTCAGATTTGAGCAAAAAATCAAGCTAGTGTGGTAATGAAATCTGGCAACAGTGTAATGAAATCTGACAAGAGTGTATTATATAACGTGATCGTAGGTTTAATCCATCGTCCTCAAATGGTTTAATCCATCGTCCTCAAATGGTTAAACTACAGTCTTAATCATGCTCAAAGGTTTGAAACATCGTCCTCAAAGGGTTAATCCATCGTCCTCAAAGGGTTAATCCATCGTCCTTAAATGGTTAAACTACAGTCTTAATCATGCTCAAAGGGTTAAAACATCATCCTCAAAGGGTTAAAACATCGTCCTCAAAGGGTTAAAACATCGTCCTCAAAGGGTTAAATCATCAGTCCTTGTTCTCCACTACACACACACACACAAACGTATAATCATGCTTCAAGGACGATAAAATGAATGAGTGAATGATAGAATGAATAAGTGAACGTTCTATGTAAACAGTATACATTCTCCCCACCTTATCAATAACCTGCAGAATGATCCAAATCCCTTGAGATTAGCGATCTTATTGGTGTAAATCACAACCATCCTGTTGGCAACACTCTAGTACGCAGGCGCAGTAGATCGAGTGGTGTTCCTTTATTGACCGCTGCTGGATCCTATGGTGTTTGACTCTTACCTATAACGTTATTTATCGGTTTATTAGAATTTTGGAGAAGTTCTGTTGGTTGTTAGTTCGTTATAACTCCAACATAAAGCTGTATACGTTATTACCTCGTAGTAGTCCGTTAATGTCTCGGTGGAACCCTCTATATAAGGGACTGTTAGATGTGAAACCTTTATTTAATGGACAATATGGAGAGTAAAGTCCATTATATCGAGGTTCCGTCAGTGAGGACAATGTCTTAAACCAACAACGTAAACCAAATTAAAACACCACTTAAAAACGAAGAAAAAACTATTAAAAACCAGTTAACAAAAACATTATAAAAACCAATTAAAAAAACCACTCAATAAAACCAGTAAAAAAAACCCCACTCAATAAAACCAATTAAAAAACCACTCAATAAAACCAATTAAAAAACCACTCAATAAAACCAATTAAAAAACCACTCAATAAAAGTGTCTCAGTAATAAAAGTCAAATAATCTTCTTCTAACCTGAACAAGAGACGGATGAACGAGCCAAATCC